TGGCCGATTTAGCCCCCTAGATGGGGATATAGGCCGTTCCCTTCGAGTCGCCAGGGGTCTATCCCCAGCAGGGGGGAAATTTGGTGGGGCTCTCGAAGGGGATGAATGGGGATGGGGGTCGGTTAGACGATACCGAACTCAGAATGCAGGGCAGGTCCTCGGGAAGGGGTTGGAACTTCCAGGGGCCCGCATGCCCCAAATCCAGGACAGCGGATCCCTGGGCGCCCCCGGGCACGCCAAGCCGCGGGGCGCGGGGCAGGGGGCCGCCCCGCGGCCACGCTCTGCGGCACGGGGGGCCTCAAGAGGCAGCTGTTGGGAGACCTGCTGACCACCTCCTCCTCCCTCCTCCCTCCTCCCTCCTCTTCCTCCTTCTCCTCCTCCTCCTCCCCCCCCTCCTCCTCCTCCTCCTCGTCCTCCTCCTCCTCTTTCTCGTCCTCCTCCTCGTCCTATTCCTCCTGCGCACGTGCTGAGGGGCGAAAGGGGGGAGAGGTCCTTCCGTCCTCGGGAAAAAAACGGGGAGGGGGGCCCTTCGGAGAGGACCTTTTTGTCACCCTGGCAGGAAGGCCGAAGACCTGCCAGGGGCCAGCGACGGGGCCCCCCTCACCCAAAACTAAGGCGGGCGGAGCGCCTGCCCGCTGGCGACGAGGAGGCCAGGTCGCCAGGGCTCTGCGAGAGGCACCCAGGTGGAGCCTTGAAGATACCTGCCCTGCGCGAGGCCTCGCAAAACTCGCGCGCCCCACGCACTGGGACGGAGGTTGCACTTCGCTCTGAAAGAGGCAGAGAGCGCGACGCCTCCGACGCCGCAGACGGCACAGATCATGCCTGTGGCCCCATTCCCGAGGTGGATGGGGAAGGCCAGATGGGAGGGATGCCCATCTCTCCTGAGAGCAGCGAGCGCCACGTCGGCTCGGGAGACGATGGGCGGCACAGCGACAGGAGGCGGCTCAACAGACAGGGCAGCATGGGCTTCGCGCACTCTGCGCGACTTGACGTGCAGACAGTCTAGGTCGGCCATCTTGCAGCCGATTCTGCCGACCCAAACCGTCAAAAACCTGAGCACCTTCGCCTGAGCGGCGTAGGCGTCACGATACAAAAGCGGGGCACGAGTGAATTCGGCAGCTTCCTTGGCAGTGGCATCGGCGAGCGAGTTGCCCACGCGCTGCCTGCAAGTGACGAAACCTCGCTCGAGGTCGGCCGCCGTGGTGTGGGCCTTGACTTTGCACAACCGAAGAGCCTCCACCCCACCACGATCCTCAATCGCGGCCCACACCAGGCGCCAGAGATCTGCCCAAGCAGCTCTGGCCGAAAGACAGTGTAGCTTGCCACGCCTGAAGACTCCATCATGGACGAACTGCGAGTCGGTCCAAAACGTGGCACTTGGAAGAGCAAGCCGCAGAGCTCGGAAGAACGCCCAGAGCTCTACGGCGTCGGTATCGTAGAGACCAGGAGGCAAGCCACCAGCCAGGACGGCGACAGAGACAGGCCTATCGTCGTGCAGGGCGACCACGGCCCATCCTAGACTATGTGCCTCTGGTGGCAGGTGTCCGTCCAGGAGGCTGCCGTCCAAAAAGAGGTCTCCGTCCAGCAGACCAGGGTGCCCCTTGAGCCAAAGCTCGTCGGGAGGAACAGGGCGAGCAGGCGGAGGGGCAGGCAGCGGCAGCAGCAGCCTCTCAGCGAGAAGACGGACAAGGGGGTGCCCGAGGTTGTGAACCAAGGAGGTGGCCACGGCTGGAGTCTCCATCTGAAAGACTTCGGCGTGTCCAGGGCAGGCCAAATGCCTGTGGGCCAGGGTCCCTGGAGAATTAGAGCACAACTGACACTGGGAGATGGCAGACAAGCGATGCTCGGCTTGCTTGGCTTGAGGCCACTGACCACCGGCAACGACGGAAACGACGCAACCCCTCTCGTGGGCCTCAAGCCGTTGCATGCCAGAAAGCACAGGGGCGAGCATGGGGCCTCTGCCGAACTCTGGCACATTGAGATGCTCGGCAACTCGCTTCCAACACCAGCTCTGCACAATGCGCTCAAGATGCCGCGCGACGGCCCTGGGGCAGAGCTCAAGGAGCGAGAAGCGGCCAACGCACTCGTGCGAGAGAACTAAGCCGTCGAACGTAATGCCGAGACGACGGGCGGAGGCAACACAACTAGTGAAAGGCCCTCGGATGGACCTCCAGGGCACAGAGGTGTTCTCAAGGGCCTGGTGAGCTCCGTCGAGGCCAGCGAGGATGAGCGGGATGGGCACCCAGGACTCCCACACAGCAGCAGCGAGGTGCAGGAGGGGAGCAGCACACAACTTGTAGGCAGGATCGACTTTTTTGACGCCAGCCATGTGCAAAAGAAGCGTAACAGAGCGTCCATCCAGCTTCTGTGACTGAACGCTGGCCTGCAGGAATCGCGCCTCGCGCAGCTCGGTGTCGGTCGTCCCCATCACCCCCGACCCATAGGAGGTGGAGGCCTGGACGGCCGCACGGACCATGTTGTGGAGAGCTCGCCTTCGGAGCTGTCCCGCCAGCGATGTTATCTTTCTCTGTCGTGCCACCGCTGCCGTGCGGCGGCCACGCTTGGTGACTCGACGAATTACACCACCTGCAGCATAATCAACGCCTAGATTGCGCTCGCTCTGTACTGGGAGAACCTGCAGAGGGCGAAGGACGGAGGCGAGCCGCCTCCGCAGCCGAACGTGTGAAGCGAGCAGCCGACTCTTAGGGCGGCTCACGGGAAGATGCGCGGCCTGCAGCTCGTGGTGAAGCATGGTGGTGGCTCGATCAAGACACTGGTGGACTCGATCCTCCGAACCAACCTTGTGCAGCGCAAAGTCGTCTACCACCACTCCAAGCTGCACTTCTTCTGCAGTCTGGCGGGGGAACGCCGCCTGGACGGCATCGAGCGGAGCCAAGACGACCATCTGCAGGCACAGAGTGGCGAACTGACAGCCAGCCAAGACGGCTTGCTGCGTACAGATCGGTGCGGAGTTCATCCCTGCATACTCTAGCACCCTAGGTGCTCTGTAAAGTGCAATCAGCAGCCGCAGCTGTCTCAGTGGAAAGTTGGAGCGACGTGCCGCCTCCAGCAGCACGCCGTGTCGGATATTCTCGAACGCCTTGCGGAGGTCGAGCAACACTGTGCCCGCCGTGAGATTGCGCCCGACGGCCCACTCCGCAGTGGCAGCCTGGATCCACACGAGGCGCTCCGACCCCCTCCCCGACGTCGACCACCAGAAATCCCGAAAGTTCTCTTGCTGCCACTGCTGGAGAAGGGGACGCCGCAGGCGCCCCTGGACGCGCGCACAGATGTGCAGCAGCGCAATTGGGCGAAGCCCGCCTGCGCGCTTCATGAGAAAAACTATATTGGTCCACATGCGTGGCCAAGTGAATGAACCTTCGATGGCTAGCAACAGCTGTCTAAAGCACTCGAGGCCTGCGTCGCTGAGCTCATCGAGCTGGCGAGGACTGATCTGATCGAAGCCGGCTCCGCTGGCTGGCTTGAAAGAGCGCAAGCAAGCGCGAAGGTCAGCTAGAGAGAAGTCTGGCAGCGGCGGCCCCATGTCCTGGGGCCAGCACAGAGAATCCTCCAACTCCCCCACACACCAGTACCGACTCCACTCCTCCGCTAACAGGCGCATCTCCTGCTCCTGAGAGGCGGGCGCGCTACGAGGCGCCCCCTCCTCGTCAAAGGACGGGCTGGAGTGCCAGGGAACAACAGGCTTGGAGAGTGAGAAAAGCGCGCCACCACCGGCAGCACTGTGCTTGCGGACCCAATCTCGCCACTCCTGATCACGACGCTTTTCGCCGATCCTCTGGCGATGGGCAGCGAGATCTCGCGCCTCGTGCGCGAGGAAACTAGCAAGGCCCCAGTCCACGTCAGCGGCTACATAAAGAAGACCCAACCACGGCCCCACAAGGGCCAAGGGCAGGGAGCCCGCGGAGTGCCGTAGCCGCCGACACGCACTGAGGGTCGAAACTCGCTCACAGAGTTTCTGACAGTGAGAGAGCTCCTGCAAGACCTGACTGAGCGCACGAAACCAGACAGCGGCGTTGGAAGTGCGAGGAAAGGGCAGCTGCCTGGGCGGGGGAGGCCTGCGCCTCTGCACGCGCAGCTCACGCGCGCGCCCGATGTAGGGGTTGCTGTCGTTACCGTCGATCTGGTATATCTCGAGGAACTCCTGCTCCATGACACTTGCGAAGCTCTGCCAGATGGTGTCGGGGTCTGAGCCGTCGTCGATGAGGGTCTGAACCGACTCCCAGCGGTCAGAGGGGAGATAGCAGCCGTGAGGACGAAGCCGAGGAAACATTCTGGGCACCCGAACGTGTGGCAGCTGGACCTCCACGCGGCTGGACTTGAGCTCGATCTGCACAGGCTTGTGGTCCTTGGTGCCCACGGCGGTAAGCAGGCGGACGCTGGAGCCGTAGTGCAGCCCGCGGGAGACGACGAACCAATCCAGCGTGCGGGACGCTCCACGAACACAAGTAGCCAACGTCGGAGCCACAATGTCAGCGCCAAGTGTGTCAGTCCATCCTGTGCTGAGCACCTCCTCTGGCGTGAGGTTCCAGTCACCCGAGACCACGAAGGGCATACCATACCGATGCAGAATGCCTCCAAGCAACGTGAGAAGGTGCCAGTTCTGAGCCGAGACGCCCTGCGAGTCATGCAAGTAGACGTTGGCCCAGAGAATGCCACCAGGCCGAAGGGCGGAAAGATGAAGAAGACTGACTCGCGCCTCGGCCACACAGAAACTCTGCTCAGGCAGCTCAGCCATGCCGAAACTGCGTCGCACCATCTGGAAGAGACCTCCAGTGGTGCCCCCTGCTGGGGTAGTCTGGGCCGCAAGCCCTTTGGCCGACCACCCCAGCTGCCGAAGACGGGCCTCCCAAGCTTGTACCTGGGCGAAGTGGTGCTCCTGAACAGCCAAGGCATCGCCGTTGAGGACGTCCTGGCAGTCGAGCACACATTCCAAGCCTGCACGGCCAGTCACGTTGGCCGTGGTGATGCGAAAGATAGTGTTAAAGCTTCTGCTGGCCAGCAACCTCTGAAGAGGCGGTGCGGGCCTTCTTGACATGATGTTCTTGCATCTGCTTGACCAAAGATTCGAAAGCTTCTCTGGGTATCTTCTTGGCAGCGGAGACTCTTTGCTCGTCATCAGCAGCTCCAGCAACGCCACCTTGCGGCTCGACGAAGGTGGAGAAGAAATCGCCACTGGGGTCCGTGAAGTAGCTCCAGTCAGGTGCCGCAGCCATGGGCACATCAGCGTCGCTAGCAGCATCACTGCCGCCGCCCGCATCAACGCCAGCCGCCTCTGAGGCTGCTGCTGCTGCCGCTGCTGGTGGGGGCTCTGCAGGGAGCTTGTCGCGGAGCATCTTGACCAGCGCGGTGAGGCGCCTTGCCTCCTCGTCGACGCCAGCCGTGGCCTGCACCGCCGCGACCAGAGCCTCGATCTGCTTGCAGGCCTCGCTCGCCGACACCGGCGGCGCCGCACCGCCCTGCGGAGCCATGGCGCTGTACGCCGCGGCGGCACGGGCGGCGGCGGCCTCGCGCTGCGCCGTGAGGTCCGCGAGGGTGGCGCGGCAGTCGAGGACATGCTGCATGGCCTTGGCTGCCTGGCCCGTGGCTCTGTCCAGCTTGGCCTGAGCCTGGGCGACCTGCTGCTGCAGCACATCGGCGTCGAGGCGGGCCGCGCGTGCCGCAGTCTGGGGCTCCCCGTGGTCGAGGGCACGCTTGTTGGCCACCCTCGCACGAGCCTTGGCCGACAAGTCGCCAGCGACGGCTGCGAAGTCCTCCTCCGACATGCGAGCGTAGGCAGCAACCTGGGCGTCGGAGAGCGGTGGCGCCGCAGGCTTCTGAGGAGCACGCGGGGGCCCCTGCACCCAAGCACCGCGGGGCTTCGGGGCAGCCTGCCGCGGGGCCGACAGACCAGGGAGACGTCCTGGTTGCCAGCCGCATTTGTAACAACTCGATCGGGATGCATAGTTGTGCTGAAAGCCACACCTCTTGTTCCCGCACGCCCAGCGAGAGAAATCTCCCATGGAGGGGGGGCGGATGTGCTGTGATATGGCAAACAGTGAGGGCTGAAACCTCAGTACACGTGTAAGCAGTGAGGGCCGCAAACCCCTCGCACCAAACCCAAGCCTCAGAGCCTCCTGCTACGGACTTGAGCCAAAATGGCTACGGGTCCTATTCCTCCTCCTCCTCCTCCTCCTCCTCCTCCTCCCGCCTCCGCCTCTCCTCCTCCTCCTCCTCCTTCCTCCTTCCTTCTCCTTCCTCCTCCCTCCTTCTCCTCCTTCTCCTCCCTCCTCCTCCTTTCCTCCTCCTCCTCCTCTCCTCCCCTCCTCCTCATCCTCTCCCTTCTCTCTCCTCCTCTTCCTCATCCTCCTCCTCCCTCCTTCCTCGTCCCTCCTCCTCCTCCTCCCTCCTCCTCCTCCTCCTCCTCCTCCTCCTCCTCCACCTCCTCCTCCGCCTTTCCTCCAGCCCACGAAGCCCGAGTCAGGAGCAGCCCAGTGGAAGTCGGGCGGACGAGCAAAAGAAGGCAGGCCCTCACTCCGGCCCCGCGGGGGGCGGTTCTCCGGGGGAGCAGGCGCACGGGGGCGAGGGGGGTGGTGGTGGTGGACAACAGGCCCAGCACCGAGTCGGGAGCAGCCCGCAAAGTCGGGCGGACGAGCAAAAGAAGACAGGCCCGCACTCCGGCCCCGCGGGGCGGAACTCGCTGGCAAGGCAGGCGCACGGGGCAGGCGATTTCCCCCGCATGCGCAAAAGGCTAAGTTTTATCACCGCGCGTGCACGTTCAACAGAGGATTTCTGCGTGGATTTCTGCGAGAATTTCTGCCCGAAGCGGCGAGCGAAAAACCAAGTGAATTTCGCGTGGATTTTTTGGGGTCTGCATTCCTGGCCAAAAAATCCGCGCAAATTCACCTCGAAATCCGGACCGAAATTCTCCAGTGCACTCCGGTTTCCGAACGAAATCCGCTCTGCGGTGTTGGCACGATGACTCCTCTAACCCATTCCAAGTGCCAGGTAGTAACGCGCCAATCTGCCATAAACAAATCGTACCGAGCGCGTTAATGTCACCCCGGACGTCGCCGTGCCAACATCTTTTCGGCCTGCTGGTCCCAACGTCTTTGTGATTGATTTTACAATTCTACAGGACACCCCAACGAACTCCAAGGTGGCCCAAGAAGCTCCCAATAGTGCCCCAGGGCTGACCAGGAGGCCCGAGGAAGGACCCCGAAACGGCCCAAGTGGCATACAAGAGGGCAAGAGGGGAAACACGAACTGACATTTCGAGCCTTTGGCCCCAAGCGGTCCCCAAGAAGCCCTCAGCACGCCCCGAGAGGCCACCAGGAGGCCCCCAGAACGTCTAAAACCCTTCCAAAAGCCCACCGAAACGGTTCCCAAGAGACCGCAAATTCATCCAAGAGGACTCTAAACCACAACCGAGTCACGGTGGCGTGATGGGACGGAGGCCTCTATGTGTATATACTTGAACACACATGAACGCATGCAAGCACTACATATATACGCAGATATCTGTATACATGCGTGCATACATATATGTATATATTCACGCATAAGCACTGTACGCATGTGTATGTATACGTGCATTGACATATGTATACTTATAATTTTGCCTATCCAGGCACAACATGCATGCATCCACGCATGCACTACATTACGTTACAGTGCATGACATTACCAAGCATTACATCACAAACTACTACACTACATTACATTACATGGCTTTGCATGACATTATACTACATTGCAAAACACCCCACTACATTACATTGCATTACATTACTGTTACATTGCATTTGGTCACTTTGCATGAAAGTGCACTACCCTGCACTAAATTACACTACGTTGCATCACACTGCACGACACAGTATGTCATACATCACATCGCAGCGCATCGCACTCAAATACAATGCATTACATTGGTTCAAATACAGCACATGGCATTTCACTCCACTACGCTACCCTGCGCTAGTCGACATACATGCAACACTCCATACATGTATATACACGAACTGGCATCCGTACATACATGCATGCCTGCATACAAACACATACACAACTGCACACACACACGCACACACATGTTTATGTGTATATATATATATATATATCATACAACACACCGCACCCCCAAGGCTCGGTACTTCTGGTTACCAGCAGCCTGGGCCCCCCGACCCTTTCCCTACAACCGCATTGTCGTCCCGAGCCGCTCGACGGTAGCCGCGGGGCCCGAAGTCGGCCCCTGGAGGCCGAGAGTGCCGACGATATCCTCGGGCCTCTTGAGGTCTAACTAGGTACCCTGACATCCGACGTCGTGATGCTGTTCGCAGCGCAGCTCCCCAGCGGTCTGGACCCCTCCCCGAGGGCCAAGGGCCATCTCTTCACCACGAGTCGTTCTTGCACGGCCCCCGGGGCCCCGCCAGGGCCCCCACAGGCGCCGAACATTGGAGGCCAGGAAATTGGCACCAACACCAACACAGGGGGTTGCATCCATAGGGGGAAGATGATCCTAGATTTCGGCGTTGGTGGTAATATTTCGGACACCCTGGAAGCCAGAATATCACCACCATCACCGAGATCGGGATCTTCTTCCCTCGGTGGAAGCACACCGCCGATATTGATGTTGGTGTCAATCTCTAGGCCTGCGAGAACACTGCAAAAAAACAGGCTCGCGTCGTGAGTCGCTCGCGACGCGAGGCTGCCAGCTCTCCCGCACCATCCTCGGGCCTCCGGTGGCCGTTTCGGGCCGGGCGCCCTCGCCGCGGCGCAGCTGCTGGGAGGCATCCCTCAGGGAGCACTAAAGCGGGTACTCCAGATTTCGTAATAAAGGGAGGGGGGTCTCATTTCGGGGGGGGTCTCTTCCAGGACGGCCCACGAGGGCCCCAAGACGGCCCTAGAGGGCCCCAAGGCGGCCCAAGAGGGCCCCAAGAGGCCCCCAGGAGAGCCCCAAGAGAGCCCCAAGAGTGCAACAATAATGCCCAAGAGGCCCCCCAGACAGCCCCAGACGGCCCGTGATCCCCAAGACAGGCCTCGCAGAGACCAAAAGGGTACGAAGTTGGGCCCAAAGGGCCCCACGAGGACCCCTGACGGGGCCTCGGTGGCGGGGAGGTCTGAAATGGCTTGTCTTGGAGAGTCCAGACCCCCTCCCTTTTATTATGAAATCTGAAGTAACAGACCCACCATGGGATCCAGGTGGAAAAACTGCAACGACCAGAACAAACAAATGCACTGTATGCTTCTGCAACGCAGAAACAAATATGCACTGCCATGTGTTGGCAACTAGTTGTGGACAAAAACTGCAAATAAGCCCCACAGACCGTGTAACAGAGGGCCCGAAACAAAAAGTTGCAGTGCAGCAGCCGAGGACGTGCAACGCAGCCAGCATGTGGAAGGTGCTGCATCGAACGCGAACGCCACAAAAAACTGCACTGCAACAAGAGGGCCATTTGATGCCTCAAACCGGCCGTTTCCTGTTACCCCGTCTGCTGTTACCCCGTCTCTGGCTCCCTGAATCCCCAGGCGAGACGAGCCTCCGGGGCCGCGCGAGGACGTCCGAAAGAGGCCTCCGCCTCGGAGGCCCTTCCGCGCTCCGAGAGGGACGGCCTCCGGGCGGCCCCGGGGGAACGCCCTCGCCGAGGCGCAGCAGCTGCTCGGCAGCATCCCGACGCGAGGCGTGCCTCCGGGCCCGCGAGGCCGTCCGAGAGAAGCCTCCGCCTCGGAGTCCCCCTCGCGCGCGCGCGCGCCGAGGCGGCGACGCTTTTCCGGCGGCAGGTCTCGGAGCAGCCGCCGCAGCAGCTGGGCCTGCTCCTTTCCGGTGGCAACTCATGGGAGCCTCCCACACCATCTTGCCGGCGCTTGCGCATCGACGCTGCGTCGACGCTACATCGACGCTACTCGGCGCTAGTTCGCCGCCTATCGACGCTCAGCCGACGCTATATCGGCGCTACCTCATCGACTGCCAGGCGCTCGTCGACGGCAGTCGACGCTAAAGACGGAATCGAAAAAGTATGCAGTAGGGGCCCGCCCACAAGAAACCTTCCACAAGAGACCCAACCCAGAGACCCCAACACTGAGACCCCAGGGCGTCCAGTGAAAAATCCGCTGATCTGGCGTGTGAGTTTAAGAAGTCTAAGCTGAAGCTCTGCTTCAGCATGAGCTTTAGCTCTGCTTGGGAGGGGGGGGGAGGGGGGGGGACCTCATGGACTGTCGAATTCAGTGCTCGGCACCCTCCCCCCCCGCCCAGTCCCCCCCCCTCGATTTTGGGACCCCCCCCCTTCGGAGTTTTGCTCTGCAAGGGCGAGGGCAAGAGAGGGGGGGGGGGGCGCTGCAAGGGGGGGGGCTGCAAAGAGGAGGGCCTCCGCAGGCGGGAGCGGGAGCTGCAGGGAAAGGCGGGAGGGTCCGCTTTGCAGATGGGCGCTCTGCAAGAGGAGGGGGGGGGGGACAAGAGAGGGGGGGGGGACAGGAGAGAGGGGGGGAGAGGGACAGGAGAGAGGGGGGGGGGAGGAGAGAGGGGGGGGGACAGGAGAGAGGGGGGGGACAGGAGAGAGGGGGGGGACAGGAGAGGGGGGTGGCAGGAGACAGGATGGGAAAGGGGGAGCGGGATCATCACCATATCCATCACCATCACCATCGTCACATCACCATCATTATCATCAGCATCATCATCGTCATCATCCTCATCCTCACCCTCATCCTAATCCTCATCCTCCTCCTCCTCCTCCTCCTCCTTCTCCTCCTCCTCCTCCTCATCATCATCATCAGCAGCAGCAGCAGCATCACCCGGAGCGCCCCGGTTTTGCGGCACTGGCCGGGGGCCACTACAACATGGAAGCCCAAGCAACCCAGGGCACCCTGGGGCCACGCAAGGGGTGCTCCTCGGCTCGGTTTCCCGCTGCACCCGGCTCCCACGATTTGCCGCCGCGCTCCTCCCCGCGCGCGGACAGCTCCGCCTGCGCGCCGCGCTCCTGCGCGACCGCCGCGGCCACGGCGCGCTCCCACTCGGCCGCGCGCGCCTCCGAGCGGGCCATGCCGGCGTCGGCCGCGGCGTGGAAGCGCGCGAGGCGCGCGTCCACCCGCCGCCGGTCCTCGGGGGCGCAGGCCGGCGGCCGCGGAGGTAGAGGCTTGCCAGATGGGGTCCGGACAGATGGGGGTCGGAGGATCGCGCCGCATCGCCAATGCATCGCTGGTGCATCGCCGGTGCGTCGGCGGTAGCTCGGCGACGCATCGTGGTTTGCGACGCGCACGGCGGGCTCTTCGCGTCGTTGGCCCACGCGATTGCTTTTCTGACACCGCGGGTCCGGGCATGGTTCTCAGACTTGGAGGATCGGCAATTCCTGTCTTTTGTGCCCGGACAGAACACCCTGGGCGACACAACCCAAAGGGAGGTGCCCAAGGTGCCTGCATGAATTCACATGCAGTCGGACCTCGCAACATGAACGGCGGCAGAGACCCGCCCCAGCCGTCACATCTGCGCCGCCGTTGCGAGGTGCCTCGAGATGCCACCCCGAGATGCTACCCGCCCTTCTTCCTGGGGCGCCACGAGGGCACCCAGCGGCACAGGCGCCAAAGATCGGCAATTCCGAAACGTCGGATCGTTCCACGTCGACCGATCCGGGGTCGCCGCCGCTCAACACGACGCGGGGGGCGAGCGAGGGCCTCGACCGAGCCCTGCGCCGCGCTCCCCACGGGGAGGCCCTCCAGCAGCGCAGATCGCAAGCCGCAACAGACCAGACCTCCCACGGCACGATGTTTGCGCGTCGCGGCGCTTGGATGCCTCGGCTCGGGCTCCTGGGGGCGCCCTCCGTGGGACCAGCTTGCCGTCGCTCGGACGTCCACTTCCCGTGCAATTCTCGGTTTCGTGCGTGTCTGTTTTGCTCGATGGCCCAGGATGGCCCTCGACGGTGCTCGCCGAAGGAAGACATGCACGAAGGATTGCACGAAAAAAAACCAAAGGATTGCAAAAAAAAACCCTGGGTTTTTTGCAATCCTTGTTTTTTTTGCAATCCTTCGGTTTTTTTGCAATTCTTCGCCCGAGCGATGCCGAGCCATCGGCCAAAAAGAAGCGGGGGTGCAAAACTGCCCCCTGAGTGGCAGGAGGGCCGTCGGAGGTGGGCGGGCTGCGACGGCGGCGGCTCGGGGCTCGGCTCAATTTGGACGCCCGAAATGGGTACGGACAGAATGGGCACAATGCCCAACAACAAATGTAGTCCCAAACCAACAGCGGCCGCTGTTGGGCCGGCGGCCTTCTGTCTCGAATGGACACAGGCCGCGGCGGCGTGGACAGCGAGTCCTGTTCAAGATGAACAGGAACTGCTGTTGGGCATTGTACCCATTCTTTCAGTACCCATTTCGGGCGTCCAGATTCAAAGTCGGCTGTCGTGTCGAAGCCGCCCTGTGGCACCTCCCTGGGCTGCTCGGGCGTCTCGCAGCCGGTCGGTCTCGGGCGGTCTCGGCATGCGCTGCTGGCGCTCCTGCCAGACGCCCGGTGACATGCATCTGTTGTCCAACAGCGTGCCTCCCCAGAGGTCTGGCCCCCTGCCACTCGGGGGCGGCCAAGAGGGAGGCGTCCAACGGGGGCGGGCGGGGGCGGGGCACAGCAAATCGTGGCCGGCGGCATGTTCGCGTCCCAAGGGGGGGCCAGGGACGCAATGAAATAAGAAGAGGCACCACGAAATCTGAGGACACAACATGGCCCACGCCAAGATCTCCATCCCCCCTATACTAATCCCCCTCCTGTTGGCCACCCCAAATGACCCAGAGATCCGACGTCGTGATGTTTTCAATACGCGGTCACCCAAAGTCTCGACCCATTCCCCAGGACCGGTTCTTCATCCTGAGTCGGTTTTTGACGGTCCCGGGGCCCGGCGAGGGCCACTGGAGGCCGAAAATCGAACAAACCAAACAAAAAAACGCCGTCTCGATGTTTTGCAGTACGTGGGCTCTCGGGGGATTCTCAGGGGCCAGCTGTCCGTTGGAGCGTATTGACGGCTCCGTGGCCCGGCGGGGGCCCCAGTGCCAGAGGCCGTTCCGCGGCGCGCGGCCGTGTCAGTCGGCGGGCCACACCTGAAGGGGCCCTGGGACACACAAATAAATAGATACAAATCACAGGATCCCCTGTATTTTCCTATATTTTCAGCGTTTTTGTCTTCCCCCCACTTCCATCATTTCCTATATTTTCTGTGGAATCGACAATTAATTGTGTCTGTGTTTTTTCCCTCCTGAACACCTCGGGCCCCCTGGCGGCCGCTCACGGGTCGCTTCGGGCACTGCCACGGGAACGTGGTCGGCAGAGGGCAGCTGCTGGAAGGCAGCCCCCGCGAGGGCTGTCTCCCGACCGCGGGAGCGAGCGGCCCGAGAACGCTCTCGGCGGAAGGCAGCAGGGCGGAACCCACACGGTGATTGTCGTTTTCGGTTTCTGTTCGTCTTCCCTCGTCTCGTCTTCAACCCGCCTTTAACACGCAAAACGACCGGCCCACGAGATCGCCCAAACACCGTTGAGGTCCACTCCTGGAATGCAGCTGCTGCTGCTGCCGCACCGCCGCGGGAGGACACTGTTTCGCCGTGGTCTGCGGCGAGGGGGCCTGGAGGCTCGAGGATCGCGGAGGGCCGAGGAGCAGCGAGGATCGAGGAGGCTCCAGGATCGAGGAGGCTCGAGGATCGAGGAGGCCTCGAGGGGGCCCGAGAGAGCTCGCGCCGGCCCGCGGCGGGCTCCTCCCGGAGGCGCTGCACCTCCCACTGCAGCGAGGCCCACTCGGAGGCCAGGGCTTCCGCCTCGCCCTCCGGGTCGGGGGCCCGGCGGTGCCTGCTCGCCTGGGCGGGAGGAGGGGCGGGCACGGAAGCACAACGCAGGGAGCACACAGCGGGAGGCCCGAATAACGAGAAGCCTGCCACGGGAAGCCCAACCCTGAGACCCCAGTACGTCCCTTGATGATTCTTGGCGTGGGCAATGTTGCCCCCCTATCGTGCTTAAGGACCACCTCCCAGAAATAGCTTCGAGCACCCAGAGATGTATCGAAAACGGGTGGAACGGGTATCGCCTCGCAGGGCCCAGCACGTGAAAATCCTCAAGTTTTGGTATGGTGATGGTGCCCGAAAGTCTTTCTGGCGATCGAGGCTAAAGTAGGTTGGAACATCATCGTATAAGGCGTGGGGACGCCACCATTTCCACAAGCAAGACCATCGAAGCGCAAGAAGCCCAGGGCACCTTGGGGGCACGCAGGATGCTTCTTGGCATGGGCCTCCACTGTATCAGCGACGCGCCGCCGTGGGGTCTGTAGCAGGGGGGTCGAAAGAGATGCGATAGCTGCGATAACTGTAGCTCATCCCGCGGCGCGTGGCGCGCGGCAGCCACGAGACGAAATGCAGCAGCTCATGCGTGGCAACGCCACGTGCCGATGTCGAACGCCGTGCGCATATCCCGCGCGGCCGCCTGCACGAGCTGCTGCGCACGTTGTTCGAGACCCCCCTCTGCAAAGGACCCCTTCGACCGAAACCCACTGCTGCTGTTGAAGAAGCATCATTGAAGGGGCCCAGGGACACACACCCACAAACAATGCACACAAATCACCGGATTCCCCATGTGTTTCTCATGTGTTCTGGGTTTCGTCTCCCCCCCCCACTTCCCATACTTCCCCCGATCTTTTCCTGGGAGCCGACGATTCCCTGTGTCTGCGTGGTCTTCCCCTCCTGAATCGTGGACGTCGGCCAAAAAAGAAAACGATGGCATCACACAGCGACGAGCTCCCGACGGCGGCGTGCACCCGACAACAACGACTGTCCTTAGGTCGGGCCTGTCCCCCTACAGGGGGATGTTCGACGAAGAATCAGAAGTACCCCAAAATACTCGAAACATACCCAAAAAATAGTCCGGGGACTATGTTTGGAGTGTTTGTTGACCTTCTTGGGGTATGTTTGGGTTTTTTTTATTTTTCGTCGAAAATCCCCCTGTAGGGGGGACAGGCCCGACCTCAGACTAGTCTCGTGCAAGGCTCGACGACTCCCGCCGCCCCCTCGCCTCGCGCGGGAGCGGCCGCCAGCTGCCCCGACCTCCCCTCTGGAGGTCTCTGGAAGTGCCTCTGGAGGTGCCTCCGGACGCAGCTCGATTCGTGTCTCTGCATCTGTGAAGGGGCCCGAGGACACACAAATAAATACACACAAATAAAATGGTTCCCCATACTTTCCCATATTTTCTGGGTTTCTGTCTTCCCGCCCAATTCCCATATTTTCCAATCTTTTCTGTGGAATCGACGATTAATTGTGTCTGTGTGTTTTTGTTCCCTCCTGAATCTGCCTGGACCTGCCTCGAAGGCGCTGCACCTGCCGGGTGTGTGTTTGCTACCGGCTTGATCCCCACGGGTCGGCTGGCGAGAAGTCGTCGAGCCCCTCGAGGATTGCCCCCCCTCCCGGACAGACTTCCAAATCTCCGCGCGGGCTCCTCGGCTCTCGGCGGAGGACCCCCCCCGCCAGCGGAGCCCAGGCCGGGGGTCCCGCCTGCTAGGAGGCAGCCTGCGGGTGGTCTTCCCGCAAACGACTGACAACTGTTGGGCCCGATTCCGGGGCCGGATAAGCCCAGAGATCCAACGCAGTGAAAAAATCAAGACGGAGGTGTTTCTAAATGTTCGGCCTCTGGGGACCCTCGCCGGGCCCCGGGACCGTCAAGAAACGAATCAGGAGGAAAGACCGGTCCCAGGGAATGGGTCGCGACTTCAGGGAACCCAGACCCCCGACGTCATGATTTTTTCATGACGCGACCCCCAGAGGTCCGGACCGATTCCCCGGGACCGGTTTTTCATCCTGAGTCGTTTTTTGACGGTCCTGAGGGCCGGTAAGGGCCCCCGGAGGCCGAAAATAGCGAAAAACCTCCCGTCGTGATTTTTTCATAACTCGAGGGGGTCTGGGAACCGCGCATCGAACAAAATCACGTTCTTGGATCTCTGGGCAAGCCCAGGTGAACCAAGGACGCAGCCGGATGAATCCAGCGCAGGCCGCAGCAGGCGACGCTGAACGGGGTTGGGTGGGCAGGACTCGGGCAGTCTTCGACCACGGACGAACCAGCGCCAGTGCTGAACCTGCACCCTCCCAGGACATTCGAAGGGAACGAGAGGGGGGGATCGCAAAATTCGGGGAGAACGAAAGTCGGGGATGGACAGACCCCCCTTTAGTAAAACGTGGTTTAGTGAAAACGACCTGAGGCCCAAACCTGGCGGGCGCAAGCCTGGAAAATGACGGCCACGGCGCCCTCTCGAGAACCGAAAACGGACAATTCACTAATCGACGTGTCACTGTTGGGGGTTCTGTCCACCCCCGAGAAAGGGGGGATAGCAAAGGGTAGGGTAAAGAATCCGAAACCGGCTGCATGCATCAGATTTGGTGGCCCCCCTTTCCCTATATCCCACCCTTTCGTTCGGCCGGAGACATGCATTCTAACGCCCCTGGCCCCCTGGTGCACTCCGCTGGTCAGTAGAGGGGGTCCATGAGAGGCAGACGTAGCGGGGGAAACAGATCGGCGTGGAACCGGGGATGCCTCGCCCAGGGACCAGACTTTCGACCCGAGTAATGCTTCAGGGCCCGGCGAGGGCCTCGAGAAGCCGAAAACGGCAGCACAAACTGCCCGTTATGCTTCGGCATCAACTCATGGGAGCCTCCCATATCATCCTGTCGGCTTTTGCGAATCGGCGCTAATCGACGCAACATCGACACCAATCGATGCTACATCGACGATAATCGACGCAAGCCGACGCTGAATCGGCGCTACCTTCTCGTCTCCCAGACGCTGATCGACGCGAGTCGACGTGAAAGACGGAATGGCGAGGGTACTCCAGATTTCGTAATAAAGGGAGGGGGGTCTCATTTCGGGGGGGGGTCTCTTCCAGGCTATCTTGGAGGGCCTGGGGGGGTCTGGGGACGAGGTTTTGGAGGGTTCTCCCACGGGGGAGGTCTGAAATGGCTTGTCTTGGAGGGTCCAGACCCCCTCCCTTTTATTACGAAATCTGGAGTATACAAGGCTCCCATGACTTGCTGCCGACTGTTTCTCTCACGACGCGAGGCTGTCAGGACAGGGGGTCCTGAGCCGATCCAAGAAGCCCCTGCGGACAGGTCCCCGGCACTCGAGCAGGGACCGACCGTCCCGGCATTCCTATAGTCCTACCACGACATGATCTTAGAACCCAGAAATGTTATCATACCAAAAACAATCTTCTCAGAACATTAACCCGATGTGATTAAACCGGGATGGTCTCCGCCAGAAATGCTCTAAGAACAGCTCGTGGGAACCACAAAAGGTTCTTAGAACATTGTTTGGTGGGGCTATAGGCGAGCCGGGACGCTCCGCCACTGCTTGATCTGTCTGCTCCGGCCGCCTTCGCGGGGCTCTGGCGCTCCTGCGGTGCCGTGGCGGCGCCCGCCACGGCCGCGCCGGCGCCGGCGGGTTCCTGGGGCGGCGCGCGCGAGGGGGGGGGCACGGGGACGGTCTTCGAAGGAGCCTTCCACGAGGGGAGTGCAAGAAGTGCCCCTGGCCCGGGGCGGGCCCCCAGCTCTTCGCGCTCAAGCCTGGAGCCCCCTGGGGGGCCCTCTGGGCCTCGCCAGAGCCGCTCTCGAGGCCGCTGGGAGGGGGGGGGCTCCGTGGGAGTCCTGGGGGCACCTTGGGCCAGGGGCGCTTCTGGCAACGCCCAACTCGCACGAGCTCCCAGACCCGTACCCGGAAGCGAGGAAGACGAGCTGGCATCATGTCGGGCATATGTCCTCCTCCAGGCGGCGTTTGGACGAAACAAAGTCCCCCAAACATGCACCAATATGTGTATATATATATGTATAGAAATACTCAGACGAGCACGACCGATCGTCACCTCGACTACGTACGCTCAACCTGCTCTTGAGCACATCCCTCCTGCCGAGGGGCCTGCCAGACTTCGAGCCAGCACGAGCACAGACGGCCAAGAGCCCTTGCGGACTTCCCGGGCCGGCGCTCTGCCCCCCCCCCCCCCCGTGGCGGCGCCACGCGTGGCGCGCCGCCCCCCGGCGCGCAGCTCGCGCCGGGGAGCGCGGGGGGCGCCTCCTCCTCCTCCTCCTCCTCCTCCTCCTCCTCCTTATCCTCCTTATCCTCCTTATCCTCCTTATCCTCCTTATCCTTCTTATCCTCCTCCTCCTCCTCCTCCTCCTCCTCCTCCTCCTCCCCGGCGCCGAGCCGAGGAGCCCTCTCGAGCCTCACGGAGAGCGTGCGCCCGTCGATGCATCGTCGGCGACGGCGGTGCGTCGGCGACGTCGGCACGCGAAGCGGAAGGGGATGCGCGCGACGCCGAAGCCCCGAGGCGGCGGCGACGCGGAGCGATCCTCCAGCCCCATCTGCTCGGACCCCATCCGGGGGAGACCAAAAGGTACCGACACTGGTGCTCCCCATACCTCTCCCGGGTTGCGTTCTGACCAGGATTTCGAGGCGAACCCAGCGGTGACGACGAGGGCCTCCCGAGAGACCAAAAAAAGAGGAAAACGGAGGAAGGATAGTGGTAGGGGTATCTTTCCCTCCTCTACGCTGTGTAGGTGTGTACAGAATGCCCCTTCCTTTCTTAGAACCCAGACCCGACGTCGTGCGTTCGAGGTCTCGGAGGTCTCGACCCAGTCCCTGGACAGCATTTCTCATGTGGGCGTGTTCTTACTCGGCGTTTCGACATTGGGCGGAAGGGGGAGAGGGGCGGGGTCTGGCTTTGGACCTATGCTTAGTGCGACTGTTTGCAACAGTGCGCCCTATGGGGGAGACCCCACCTGCTTGCAACGAGGCGCCAAATTAGCCAAGATCTACTCCATAGGGGAGGGGAAGGGGTGGTGCGAGGGCCCGCACCGATCGGCGATCGGCAAAACAATCAATGAATAAGGACGACGACCATCATGCGTACTTGTTTGCCAGTCCTCGGTCCCAGTGAAGGCCCCCAGAGGCCGACATTTGCGTAAAGCCTCCCGTCGTGATTTGTTTATGGCACAGGAGGTTATGGGACCGCATCGTTTGGGAATCAACGAGTTGAAATCAACAAACTACCAATACCACTGACTACTCCCCAAACCTACTTCCCAGTGTGCGCTCGGACCAAAATGTCCAGGCGAATCCAGCCGTTCCCGGGAGGCCCAGAAAGGCCAACACGAGTTGGTGCCGGTACAGTGGGGGCGCGCATCAAGAAACTATATGCTTTTCGTCAGGGTATCCTGAGTTTCTTCGCTCCTCGCGCTGCGCGGTGACTTCCCGCGGCCGTTGTAGGAACTGCTGCGTTCAGGGTGTTCCAGGTTTCCCCTCAGGTGCACCTCGCGCACGGGTTCTCGGGGTTGGGTTTCTTGCGAGGGTTTCTTGCGGCCGCGCCCGCACTATACCTTCTTCTCGCATGCCGTCTGTTGCTCTTCGACTTCGTCACGACGCGAGGAAGAGGGGTCTGAGAAGGCCTCCCCCCTGGGGCCCGCCCCCTCTTGCGCGCCGACGGCTCCTCCGCAGCGGCGCTCAGCTCCGGCAGCACCTGCGCGAGGGCCTCGGAGGAGACCTGCGCCTGAACGAGGTCCACCAGCTCCTGCCAGCGCACCCTGGCGAGCTCGGGCTGCTCCGCCGCGAGCTGCTCCTGCACTTTGCTGGAGAAGCAAACGCACCTTGAAACGTCGACTCGGTTGCTTCAGCAAGGACCGACCGTCCCGACATTCCAATAGGCCTACCACGAAGACATGTTCCTGGAACACCAACATGTTCTGAGAACAAAACAATGTTCTTGTGTCACGCAGGCCCGATGTGTTTCAACAAAAGAATCCCGGCTAGAAGCGTTCTGAGAACCTTTCGTGCAGACCACGAAAGGTTATCAGAACATCCTTCGGTGGGCCTATAGGCGAGCCTGGACGCTTCGCCGCTGCTTGATGGTTGTTTCCCTCGCCGTATGGTACGCTCGATGATTCGCTTCTGTGTCCGGCGCCGGGACACTGAAAAGCGGGCGCAGGATGAACAACTACCCCCAGAGCTTTGTTCCCATCGTACTTACCCCAGAAATCATTTCGAGCATCCAAATATGTATCAAAAGAGTGTCGAACGAGTTTCGCCTCCCATGGCCTGACACGTGAAAACCCTCCACTTCGGTAATCATCTTGGTGCTCGAAATTATTTTTGGTGATCTAGGCTAAAGTAGGTTGGAACATCATAAGCCAAGATGAAAAAAACTAACCCCAGAGAAATCCCTGTGTTGGGGAAGGGTAGCGTCTAGTCGGGCATGTCCCTTTGCAGGAGGATTAATCAAAAATAGCCTAACAATAGTCTGGGGATGATTGCTCGATGACTTGTTGGCCATGCTTGAATCTGTTGCGACCGTGTTTCACTCTCCTTCCAAGCCCCGCCTGTAGGAGGACATGCCCGACCTAAGCCTGGAGATAGCGACACACCGCTGCTCCCCAGACCTCTCCCGGGGCGGCCTTTGTGGGCCAAATCTCCGCGGCGCACCCAGCCGTGCCGACGAGGGAGGGCCTCCCGGGAAGAGCCCCCCGGCTGAGCATCGCTTCACCGACCCCTATGCCCACCGGTGTGGCCTGGGCCCCACTGGCCGATTTGACCTGACGCTGCTTCCCTTCGGACTTCCAGGGGTATATCGCCAACCGGCGTGCTGAGACTGCTGGGCTCGGGGTGGGGACGGGGCTGGGGATGCGTGAAGCAATACGGGCTGAAGGGCGAAAGCGAAGCAAGGGCACACATCGCCGATGGATCGGCGACGAACCCCCGATAGGGAATCCGCACCTTCCCTCGGGGCGCACACTCGAGGTTGGTAGAGAACCAGTGCCTCCCCGGGCGGGGGTGGGACGTCGGGCCCCTGTTGGCGATGAGTGGACGATTGGGGGTCTCAGCGTTTCCCCCTATGCCCCCCCCCCCCCCCTACCGTTGCCCTTGGCCAAAAAGGCCCAGCACGAGGCCAGGGCAGCGGCCGCGAGGCGTCTTCCTCCCACGAGCTCCGCGACCCACGCGCGCGCGTGCGGCGGCGAGCGCGACGGCGCGAGCTGCTCCCCCACCCGCACCGCGCCGCCGGCCAGCTCTCGGGCGCTCCCAGGGGTGCCCCCTGGCCCAAGGTGCGGTAACTGCGCACCCCTGTAGTAAGCCTCTCTCAGCAAGGATTCCGTGCTGAGGGTTCATTCGTCAGGATTCGTGGCTGAGGTTCCCCGAGCAGGGGTTCTTCATCACATGCTCTTCAGCAGGGATTCCATATGATTAAGGTTCCCTGATCATGGGAAAACCAAAAGTACCGATACCGCTACTCCCCGGACCTCTCCCCGGGTGCGTTCTGACCAGAATTTCGAGGCGAATGCAGCGGTGGCGACGAGGGCCTCCCAGAAGGCCCCAAAAAGAGGAAAACGGGCGAAGGGTATAGGTATGGGCACCTTTTTTGTCGGGGATGGACAGACCCCCCTTTAGTGAAACGTGGTTTAATGAGAACGACCTGAGGCCCAAACCTGGCGGGCGCGAGCCTGGAAAATAACGGCCACGGCGCCCTCTCGAGAACCGAAAACGGACAATTCACTAATCGACGTGTCACTGTTGGGGGTTCTGTCCACCCCCGATTTGGCCCTGCGAGATCAAGGCTTGCTCGCAGAGCACCCCCTCGCGAGGCCCAGCGAGGCCCAGCGGGCCCCCGGGGGCATCCGGCCTGGAGCGCGCAGCGCGGGAGGCACCCGGGCCGCACGGGGGGGGGGGGGGGCACCCGTGGCAGCTCCCGCCGCTCCCTGCCGCACGCGCAGGCCCAGCGGGCAGCGCCGCGCCGCCCGGCCGCGGGCGCCGCCTCCAGGGGCTGCTTCGACGGGCAGCTTGCCGTCGCTCGGGCGTCCGTCTCCCGTGCGTGGGCCGGTGTCGTGCGTGATTTTTCTGGCTCGATGCTCCAGGCTGGTCCTCGACGGCTCTCGCTGGGGGAAACAGAAAAAGAGGCACACGTCCGAGCGATGCCAAGGGCAAAGGTGAGCGTTGTCCTACCCGGCGTCTCGACGTTGGGCGAGAAGGGGGGGTGGGGAAGCGGGGGGGTCTGGCTCCAGAGCTCTGCTTCAGAACCCTTTTTTCTTAGAACCCAGAGCTCTGGGTAGGTTTGTAAACAATGGCCTTTCTCAGAACCCAGATCCCCTACAAGGTGAGTTCGGGAGGTCTCGACCCAGTCCCTGGACAGCATTTCTCATGTGAGCGTTTTCTTACTCGGCGTTTCGACATGGGGCGGCAGGGGGGTGGGCAGGGGGGGGGAAGGCTCCACCCGCTGGAAACAGGCGCCAAAAAAACCCAAGGCCTAATCTTAGGTCGGGCATGTCCCCCTACAGGCGGATTTAGAACGAAACATAAAAAAGCTCTCAAACTCAAAAATAGCAACAACAACAAAATGTAAAACACGTTTAAAAAAATCGTTCCCAGAGTATCTCTTGACTGTATTGGAATATCTCCCCTGCAAAGGGACAGGCCCGACTCAAACCTACTCCATGGTGGGGGGGCTGCGAGGCCCGCGCCGATCGGCGATACAATGCCTCAACAGAAACACAAGCACACAACGGGCGACGGGCGCGGCCGCCGACGCCGGGCGCGGAGCCCCCCTAGTCGGGGAAACCGAAAGACCCCCCCCTGTAGTAAGCCTCTCTCAGCAAGGACTCCGTGCTGAGGGTTCCTTCGTGAGGATTCGAGGCTGAGGTTCCCCGAGCAGGGGGTTCTTCATCAGATAGTCTTCAGCAGGGATTCCATAGGATTGAGGTTCCCGGATCATGGGGAAACCGAAAGGTACGGATACCGCTACTCCCCGAACCTCTCCCGAGGTGCGTTCTGACCAGAATTTCAAGGCGAATGCAGCGGTGGCGACGAGGCCCGCCCAGGGCGCCCAGGGAGGGGGCAAACGAGGGAAGGGTACTCCAGATTTCGTAGCAAGAGGGAGGGGGTCTGGACCCTCCAAGGCAAGCCATTTCAGACCTCCCCCGTGGGAGGAACCCTCCAAAACATCGTCCCCAGACCCCCCAGGCCCTCCAAGATAGCCTGGAAGAGACCCCCCCCCCGAAATGAGACCCCCCTCCCTGTATCACGAAATCTGGAGTATAGAGGTATGGGCACCTCTCCCTCCTCTGCCCTGGTCGGGCACCCCGAGGCCTGGGCAACGGTACACAGAGGGCCCCACACGGGCACACGGCTGCCCGACGCCCGCGAGGGCCGCCGAGGGCCCCCGGGCTTCTGCCGGGTGCGGCCTTGGCCGCTGGCGCGGGCCCTCGGAGATGCCGACCAGCGCCTTTTCCGGCGGGGGGAGGTGCTGCCCCCCCCCCCCCCTCCGCGTTCTGAGGGCCGCGGGGCTCGTGCGGGGGGGCAAGAGGCAGAGGCCTGGAGCATCGCTGGGACTGGGAGAGGCACGTCGTCGGAGGCCCGCTCCCGAGGCCCAGCTGGTCCTCCCAAGTCCCGAGGCCCAGCTGTTCCTCCAAGTCCCAAGTCCCGAGTCCCAGAGGCCCCCTCCCAAGACCCAGCCCGCAGAGACCGAAAGTTGCCAACGAAAAGCAAAAGTCGCCTTCATTGTGTTCGACACGTTCTTCATCCAGGGATCTGGGGTTATGCTTGCGCCGCAATTTCTTTTTCGTACCTCCTCTCCTCGAGCTATTTCGTGTACCACGCCAACCCCGCCCCAGTGAGATTCCAACCCCCGGGGCGGCCCTTGGCACACAAGCACCACGCCAAGGGAGGGAGCTGTGTAGATCAAACCCACGACCAGGACCATCCCACACCTCCCAGGGCTTGCGGGCACTGTATATACACGTCGGTCGGAAGAAGCAGGTAAACACATGAAGTAGGAAGGCGGATGAAGTAGATTGGGTCCAGGCCCTACCCGAGAAGAACAACATATACAGCAAAAGCAGATCGATCCTTGAAATAGGAAGGCGCTTGAAAAAGATTGAGATCTGAAAATCATTGAAACTGCATACCCGCTACTCCCCGGACCTCTCCTGGGGTGCGTCCTGACCAAAACTTCGAGGCGAATGCAGCGTTGGCGACGAGGGTCTCCCAGGAGGCCCCACAAAGAGGAATAACGTGTGGATACCCATCAGCCGGAAGAAGAAGGTAGAAACATGAAGCAGGAAGGCGTTGAACGAAGACTGGGCTCCGTCCGCCCGCTAAGGAGGAGGGAAGAGCTGAAGCCGCTCGATCATTGACGTAGGAAGGCACCTGAAGCAGAGTGGAACCTGGGACTCCAGACATACCTGCTTCCTCAACGACCGATGGATACCTGACACCTCCCCCCGAGAGGTTTTCTCGGGTCGGGCGAAAGGGGGGGATAGCAAAGGGGGGGTCTGAGAATCAGCTCACGTATAGCTGACTTTCCCGGCGCCTCCCGGCGCCGGAGGCGGCTATGTATCGAGGAAGGGGCCCCTCCGTGAGGCCGAAACCAGCTGCATGCAGCAAATCTCGTAACCCGAGAATCCTCCCCCTCCTCCTCCTCCTCCTCCTCCTCCTCCTCCTCCTCCTCCTCCTCCTCCTCCTCCTCCCCCTCTCCTCCTCCTCCTCCTCCTCCTCCCCCTACCCCACCCTTTCCCAATCCCCCCCTTTCGCCCGGCCCGATTTTCAACGGCAACTGCTTGGGGCGGACTCCTCGGGCCTCCTCGCTGCCGCGCCGCGGCGCGCTCGGCGCCAGGCCGCCGCCGGCCGCGGCGCCCCCCGCGCGCGGGGGGAGGCCGCCCTCGCTCTCCGGCAGCGGGGGGGGCAGCACCTGCCGCTCGAGGCCGAGCCGCTGCGGCAGCACCTGCAGGCGACGAGGGCGGACACGGGCCTGACGCAGCACCCTCGCCATCGCCTGGACGTCAATTCCCTGTTTTTTGTTGGCTTCGTGCGTGCTTTATTTCGCTAAATGATCGAGGATGCTCCCCGATGGTCCTCGCCGAAGGAAGAAATGCACACGTCCGAGCGATGCCAAGGAAGGGGGGACCACGAGATACCTTCCACGAGAAACCCAACCCTGAGACCCCAGGGGCTCGGCCACGAGAAACCTGCCGCCAAGAAGCCAAACCCTGGAACCCCAAGACGTCCCCATACATTTTTGGTGCGGGAGCGTCGCGCGCGCGCTTTCGCAGCAACCCCATCGGAACCCAGGAAACCCAGGGCACCCTGGAGGCAAGCAGGGCGCTTCTCGGCATGGGTTTCCACTATGAAGTCGGACCTACAGTGAGCGGCTTGAGTAAGGAACCCTTACGTTTCAAAAGGGGCTCGGTCGTTCCTTAAGGCTTGCATGCGTTATGTATCGTTCCTTATGCGTTTGTATTATTATGTATCGTTCATTATGCTTTTTCCATTGGAAAACAGGGGCTTCGTTCCTTATTTATCGTTCCTTAGGTCAGGCCGATGACTATAGGATAGAAGAACATACTTCAAGAACACGAGGCCCTCCGCCAGCCAGAACCGAAGAGCATGCGAGGGTGCCCTCCCCCAGGCTGCACAAGAGAGCATCCGAACAGCTCGGAAAACAACAAGGGGCACACCCTCCCCGAACCGACCTCGATCTCATGCGTCGGCCCGACCGTACGGAACAAATGGGCACGCTGCCGTACAACAAGTGTCGTCCAGAGCCGACAGCGGCCGCTGTTGGGCAGGCGGCCCTCGGTCTCAGACTGACAACGTCCGCGGCGACAACGACAGCGAGTCCTCTTCAAACTGAACAAGGGATGCTGCCGGTCCTCGTGCCCATTCTTTCCGTACCCATGTTGATCGTACCGAAGAGTGAGGCGTCGGGCGCGGGGTAGATCGCGGGTGGATCGCGGGTGGGTCGCGGGCGAAGACGTGTCATGCAGCATGTATATCCCAAACTATCGATGCCCGCCCTCTTCGACTGCGACCGTACCCCCCCTTAGGGGCATATCTTCCTGACCTGCCACGTGTACCTGGCGCAGCCCCTGAACAAGGGGCAGGGAGGGAGGAGGGAAAGGACGAGGGGGGAGGGAGATGGATGGAGGAAGAGCGAAGACTGCCAGGAGGGGGGTCTGGAGTCAGCAGCTCGATCACAAGAGGCAGCACCAGACGGGCGGGTCGGGCGGGCGGGCACCGACGGGCGCGGCGGGCGGGCGGGCCCAAACGGCCCAGCGCGAGCGCGACTCCCGAGCGCCGAGGGCGCGGCGTGTCCGTACGTTCGGAGGGAGTCCAACGCGAGAGCCGGATCTCTGGATATGTTGTGGAGACGGTCCGCGCGAGAGCGCGATATTGAATGACATGTGAGAAGTAACGTCAGGCGGAAGCAGCTGCTGCTATAAACCGGGTGGCGATTACAGTCTAAGCCGCGATACGTTCCCTCGTTTCCAAAACAAGTGCGAGCCCTGGGGGGGGGCTCTTCAATCGAAAAACACAATGCGCACAGGAGGGCGGATCATGAATAAGGATTCCTTAGAAATCAGAAAACAACCACAAACAACACAAACAACAACACCACCAACATTAACAGCAGCAAGAGCAACAGCAACAGCATCAACAACAACAGCAACAACTACACCAACAACAACAATGACATCAACCACAACACCAACAACAACAATCATGTTAAGACTGATCAGTCTTACTGACATGCATGTCTTGCATCCTGTATACCCCAACACTCGATACCCGCCCACTTCGTCTTCGATTGCACACCTTGTGGGGGGAAGATCTTCCTTGTTGGCCACTGACTGAAGTGCGGGGAAGTCTCGAGCGAGAACGCCGTTCCTGACTTCGGGGGCCTCTCTGGCCAGGGGCTCTCGGAATACCAATCGACTAATATCGAACGGGAACCCTTGTCGCCGTGGCTGGGCCTCCACCGACTTGCCTGAGTTACGAGAAGGTCTCGAGCGAGAGTGCCGTTCATGAGTTCGGGGGCCTCCCTGGCCAGGGCTCTCGGAGTACATCGTGAGTCGAGCAGGAGCCCTTGTCATCGTGGCTGGGCCTTCGCCAACTTGACTGATTTGCGAGGAAGTCTGGAGCGAGAGCGCCTTTCCCGAGTCTCTCTGGCCACGGTGTCTCGGGGTAAATTGTCAGGAACTGTCGAGCGGGAGCCGCTGTCGTCGTGGCTGGGCCTCCAAGGGCCCACATTTAGACTCAAGAAAGTGCTCGCGCGGGCGCCTCGTGTTCAAAGAAAATGTAGCTGACGTCGAGGCGAGAGCGCGCGGAGCCGTTTCCGGAGATCAGCCAGAATTATTCTTAGAAATGAATATGTGACAGCTACAACACCAACACCAATAACAACAGCAGCAGCAACAACAGCAACAACAACATAAATATAGACATTGTCAGACTGGTCGCTCTTATCTGCCCGCGCGTCTCCCAACATTTAGATCCCAAACTCTGGATACCCTCCCTATTTGTCTTCGACCGTCCCCGCATTCCTATAGGTCTACCACGACATCTTCCCAGAACCCAAAAATGCTCAAAACAACACTGTTCTTAGAGCAAAAGCCCGGTGTGTTTAAACAAGGCAGCCCCAGCCAAACATGTTCTAAACACATTTCGTGCGAACAACAAAAGGTTATCATAACATTGTTTGGTAGCCCTATAGGCACGCCAAGACGCTTCGCAACTGCTTGACACTTACGCGAGATGACACAGCGACCTACCCGCCCTCGTCGTCTTCGATCGTACGCCCTTGGGGGCATACCTTCCTTACCTGCCACGTAATATAGCGCAGCCCCTAAACCAAGCGAAGGGAAGACGAGTGGAAGGGGGAGGGAGAAGAATGGAGCACGAGAAAAATTTGCAGGAGGGGGGCAAGGAACAGAAAACACTTGGCAGAACCAGGCGGGCAGATCGGGTGGCCCATAGCGGGCAGGTCGGGAAGGCGGGCCCAGGCGACCAGGTCGAGCAGGCGGGTTGCTGAAGCGTGGGTCCTGCATAAATCGCGAGGAAGTCTCAAGCGATAGCGCGATTCCCAAATAAATCGTTAGAAAAGCCAAAGCGAGAGCGTGATTGCTGAGCGCCGAGGGCGCACAGTCTGAATACATTGTGAGGGAAGCCAGCGCGAGAGCGCGATGCGTACATGAAGTGTGGGGAAGTCCCGCACGAGAGCGCGATGAGGGAATACATTGTAAGGAAGAATCATGCGGGAACCGCTGCCGCTGAAAACTGGAGGCCAGGAGTCCAGTTTGAGCCGATTGGCTTCCCCTGACTTAAATTAGAAAATGATAGTCACCGGATTGGGGAACCAACAATAATTATTCTTCAGTAGCGGAAGTTCAATAACATCAGCAACATCAACATCACCACCAACATCAACAACACCACTTACAACAACAACAACAACAACAGCAACAACAACACCAACACCAGCACCAACAACAGCAGCACCAACAACAACAATCGTTCTAAGACTGATCGCTCTTACCTGCTCGCGGGCCACACAAGACGCAGATCCCAAACCCTCGATAGCCGTCCTCTTCGTCTACAATCGCACCCCCCTTGGGGAATAGACCGTTCTTACCTGCAATGTGTACTCCATGCAGCCTCCAAGGCAGGGGGAAGAGAGAACGGATGGAAGGAAGGGACAAGGCGAGGGAGGAGGATGGAGAACGAGAGAGCAGCAGGAGGGGTGCTAGGAACAGAAAGCACTTGGCAAAACCATACGGGCAGATCGGGTGGGCAGACCCTAGCGGGCGGGTCGGGAAGGCGGGCCCAGGCGTCCAAGTCGAGCAGGCGGGTTGCTGAAGCGTGCGTCCTGCATGGATCGCGAGGAAATTTCGAACGATAGCGCGACGCCGAAATAGCTTGTCCGGGAATCCACAGCGAGAGCGTGGTTCCAGGGAGTCGAGGGCGCGGCGTCTGAGTACATGACCGACACATCCCACGCGAGAGCGCGATGCCTGTAAGAATTGTGGGGGCGTCCTACGCGAAATCGCGATTTGAGAATACATTGTGAGGCACTATCACGCGGGAGCCAATGCTGTTGAGGTCGGCGGCACACAACGGGAGACTCACTTTCATTGAAATATGCAATGGTTACCGGAGGGGGGGAAACAACAACAACAATAACAACAACAACAAAAACAACAACAACCATCGTTTTAAGACTGTTCGCTCTTACTGGCGAGTGTCTCTTGCATTCCGAATACCCCAACCCCTCGATACCCGCCCATTTCATCTTCGATTGCACCCCCTTGCCGGCGGAATCTCTTCGATGCCAGCCACTGACTGAAATGCGAAGAAGTCTTGAGCGAAAGCGCCGTTCCTGAATTCGGGGGCCTCTCTGGCCAGGGGCTCTCGAAATACCGATGGAGAAAGATCCAACGGGAGCCCTTGTCGCCGTGTCCGGGCCTCCACCGACTTGCCTGAGTTATGGGAAAGTCTCGAGCGAGAGCGCCGTTCCTGAGTTCGGGGGCCTTCTTGGCCAGGGGCTCTCGGAGTAAACCGTGAGGAAGTATCGAGCAGGAGCCCTTCTCGTCGTGGCTGGGCCTCCGCCAACTTGAGTGAATAGCGAGGAAGTCTCGAGCGAGAGCGCCGTTCCTGAGCAAGGGGGCCTCTCTGGTCAGGGTGTCTCGGGGTAACTTGCGGAGAAATCGAGCGGGAGCCGTTGTTTTCGTAGCTGGGCCTCCAAAGGCCCAAATGTTTGACCAAGCCAATGCTCCAGCGGGAGCATCTTTTTCAGAGAGAATATAGCTGGCGTCGAGGCGAGAGCGCGCGGAACCGCTTCCGGATATCAGCCATACATATTCTTGGAAAATGACGATTCAACAACAACAGCAACAGCAAAGCAACAACAACAAACAACACAAAAACACAAGCAACCATAAAAAACCAAACAAAACAAACACAATAACAACAACAGGAACAACAACAACAACAATAACAACAACAACAACAACGCAAACAAACACAACAATATAAACCACGTCAACAACCACAGCAACAACAAGAACAACACCAACAATAACAACAGCTACACAACACAATTTAAGACTGTTCGCTCCTATCTGCTCAAGTGCCAACCAATACGTCTATCCCAAAACCTCGGTACCCGCCCTCGTCGTCTTCGATCGTACCCCTTGGGGGTATATCTTCCTTACCTGTCACGTGTATTTAGTGCAGCCCCTAAAACAAGGGAAGAGAGGACGGGTGAAGGGGGAGCGAGAAGAATGGAGCACGAGAGAAATTAGCAGGAGGGGTGCAAGGAGCAGAAAAACAACTGGTAGAACCAGACGGGCAGATCGGGTGGGCAGACTCATAGCGGGCAGGTCGGGAAGGCGGGCCCAGGCGACCAGGTCGAGCAGGCGGGTTGCTGAAGCGTGGGTCCTGCACGCGTCACGAGGAAGTCTCGAGCGATAGCGCGATTTCCAAGTAAATCGTGCATATGGGGCCACGACGGGCGCGAGCGAACGGGCCACGAAGGGCATTCGTATACGGGGCCGCAAAGGGTGACAGCGGGGCCACTGGGGGCAGCAAAGGGGCCACGAAGGGCAGCGAGGGCGAAGGGCGATAGCGGGGCTACGAAGGGCATGCGAATGGGGCCACGACGGGCGCGTGCGAGCGGGGGCCACGAAGGGCATATGATGTGGGGCCACACGAGGCAGCGACGGGGCCGCTGAGGGCAGCAACGGAACCACGAAGGGCAGCGAGCGAAGGCGACCGCGGAACCAGTACGGGCAGCGAGGGGCATCGAAGGCGGCGAAGGGCAGCGACCGGCGACTGCAGTCATTAACGGGCTGGTCGGGCGGGCAGGCCCCGACGGGCAGATCGAGCGGGCGGGTCGTTGAAGCGTGAGTCCTGCTTGAGTGTCGAGGACCGGCATCTCAAAAAATGTGATGAAATATCAAACAAAGCGGCTCGGTGGTAAATTGCGAGGAAGTCCCAAGCGAGAAAGCCATTCGACAATACATTGTCAAGAAGTCAAGGAATATCAGGCGGGAGCGGCGATTCGTTGGCAAATTGTAAGGAAGTCCAAAGCGAGAGCGCGATTGTTCAATAAATTGTGAGGAAGTGTCAGGCGGGAACCGCTGTAGTTGTAAACTGGGTGCCAACGACACAGTTTGACCCCCAAAGCTTTCCCCGATACAAAAATGGTGCGAGCCCCGGGAGGGGCACTTCTATCGAAAAATACAATGTGCATCCGGCGGGGGGGGGATCAACACGAATTATTCTTCAGAAGTGAGAGTCCAACAAGAACAACAACAACAACAAGAACAACAACAACAACAACATCAACAGCAACAACACAAACGTCAACAACAGAAATAGAAACACCGGCAACAACAACAACATCAGCAAACACAACGGAACCAACAGCAGCAACACAACAATCAAACTAACAAACATGACAACAGCCATAACAACAACAAACAACAACCACAACCACAACACCAGCAGCAGCAACAACAACAAACATAGCAACAACCACAACAGCACCAACTACGACTACAATTACTATTACTACTACTACTATTACTACTACTACAACTAGTATTACTACTACTACTACTACTACTAATACGACTACAACAACAACTACTACTACTACTACTACTACTACGACTACGACTACGACTGCGACTACTACTACTACTACTACTACTACGACGACTACGACTACTACTTACTCGAACTACTACTACTACTACTACTACTACTACTACTACTACTACTACTACGACTACTACTACTACTACTACAACTACTACTACTACTACTACTACTACGACGACTACTACTACGACTATCATTACTACACTACTACGACTACTACGACTACTACTACTACGACTACTACTACTACTACTACTACTACTACTACTACTACTACTACTACTACTACTACAAGCATGCGAACCACAAACAATACTACCATCAGCGACACTACTTATATTAACAGCAACTAAAACAAGCAAACAGCAACATCACCAACAACAATAATGACAGCACCAACAACAGCAGCACCAACAACAGAACACGTTTTGAACTGTTCAAGACGCGGGGGGGGTCGGTACCTCTTAGTACTTAGTGAGAGCCTGGCAATTGGAACCAGCACTGACATACGGGATGGCCTCCCATGGGGAAGATGATCCTGCATTTCGATGCTGATGATAATCTCTGGGCCACATAGGAGGCCCGAATCTTACCACCATCGCCGAAAGATCAGGGTCACTTTCCCTCCATGGAGGCCAGCGCCAATGCTGATGTTGGTACCAACCTCTATCGCGAGCATCGGAAACAGCCGTCTCCCCGCCCTCGCGGCCTGCATCCCAGGGCAAGACCCCGCGGCGACGCGCTCGCACGGACACGGAGCCGCACGGGGGCGGCATCCGCGAACCGAAGCGCGCCGCGGCAGCGGGGGGGCCGCGCCCCCATGGGGCCCCCCCCCCCCGAGGCCGCGGATGCACACGGACCTGCAGAGCCGCCCACGACCTCAAGCCTCCGTCTCGAGCCCCGCCTCTCCCCGAGCAGAAACAGAGGCAGCGCCAGAACAGAGAGAAAAACACTTTTCCGATTCGCGGGTCGAGAGCGCACCTCTTCCGGTCGAAGCTAAGCGGGCCGCGCGAAGCTTGAACTAACAAAGAGAAGGGGGACAGAAGGAGCGCGGCGGAGAGGAAGAAGCACAAACACGAATTTGTGGCGCTCCGCGCGGACTTCTTGGCTCTGCGCCGGACCCCCCTCCCTGGCGCGCGGAGCGCGACAGGGGCGGCGCCGGAGGCGCCGCCGGGGGGACGGATGGACGGCACATCAGACACTCAGGCGGCGCGTGGACGAAAACGGCAGGACGGACACATGTATCGCAGACGGCCAAACGCCGCGCAGTCAGCTCTGATCATCCACAGAGGGAGGCGGAGAGGAAGGAGCGGAGGAGGAGTAGCCGATCCAACAGCCGATCCAAGAACTCCGCGCGGAGCGCCAGAAGCTTATGTTGTCTTTATTAGGGGGAAAACAAACCTACCTCGCTTTTGACCACCCTCGCTTCCAAGAGATACCAAACGATGCCAACCTACGGCCCGTATTGGTCAGGCCGCCTGACGAGGAGGCGCGTGGTATGACTTGGTTTTGCCGGGAAGCGAAAGCGGGGTAGGTGATTCACGCTCTGATCTATGGCGCTTTCTCCTCTTCGAGCTCGGCCCCTCCTCCCCGAGGGCACCTCCAGGGCGTGGAAGAGCTCGCCCAGGCCCGGCACGCTGGTGAGCAGCAGCGCCGGCACCGCCACCGCGGGGCCGGGCAGGGCGGGCGCGCCGTGGGCGCCGCCGGGCAGGCTGGGGAGCTCCACCTCGGATGCGGCGGCAGCAGGAGCCAGATAATTAGGAGAGGAGCGGCACCACCACCAGCCGGGGGCTGGGCGTCTCCTGCTTGAGGGGGGATAAGTACATGTGGAGGCCAGTCCACACGAAGCCCTCCGCGGGAGACGCCACCCCGCCACCCCAGGACGTGCACTGGCGGTCGGCGTGGGAACAGCACGCTCTCCAGAATCAGCAGGGCCATCGAAACCCAAGAAACCCAGGGCACCCTGGAGGCAAGCAGGGTGTTTCTTGGCATGGGCTTCCACTGTACAGGGGGGGGAGGGGGGGGGGAAAGATGCACTTCTCGGGCCCCAGACGCCCCGTTTGAGGCTCCAAGGGGCCCCGTGTTGGGGCCCATAAGGGTAAATTTTCTGCAGCCCCCCCGTGTTTATCGCCCCCCCCCCGTTTCGCGACGCCCAAAGGGACAACCAGCGGAAGAAGGTGTGGAGGGGTGCCTCTGGTGGTATGGTCCCCCTCTCTCGCCAAAGACATCCCCTAACCGCCCCAGCTCGGGGAGGCATCGGAAAACATAGCGCGGCACGCCACATTGGAGACAACGGCGCTCACCCGAGGCCCTGCGCTGGCAGCTTGGGCGCCAACGCTTCTCGTCCGCCGCTCGCCTGTACGAGGGGAGGAGGAGGAGGAGGAGGAGGAGAAGGAGGAGGGGGGAGGAGGAGAAGGAGTGGGAGGAGGAGGAGGAGGTGGAGGAGGAGGTGGAGGAGGAGGAGGAGGAGGAGGAAAAGGAGGAGGAGAGGAGGAGGAGGAGGAGGAGGAGGGTGAGGAGGGTGAGGAGGAGGAGGAGAAGGAGGTGGAGGAGGAGGGGGGGATGGGGAGGAGGGGAGGAGGAGGAGGAGGAGGAGAAGAGGAGGAGGAGGAAGAGAGGCGAAGGGGCGAGGAGGGGAGGGGGTGGGGAGGGGGAGGGGGAGGGGGAGGGGGAGGAGGAGGAGGAGGAGGGGAGGAGGAGGAGGAGGAGGAGGAGGGAGGAGGAGGAGGAGGAGGAAGAGGAGGAGAAGGAAGAGGGGAGGAGGAGGAGGTGGAGGAGGAGGGGGAGGAGGAGGAGAAGGAGGAGGAGGAGGAGGAGGAGGAGGAGGAGGAGGAGGAGGAGGGGAGGAGGAGGAGAAGGAGGAGGAGGGAGGAGGAGGAGGAGGAGGAGGAGGAGGGAGGAGGGGGAGGAGATCGCTTCAACACCAAATGGCCGCCCCGGCGCGCTCCTCCTGAAGCGCTTGTAGCCGCGAGCAACCATAGTTCACCCTCCCGTCCTGTGGCTGCGCGGCCGCCCCCCCCCCCTCGCGCGCCCCTCTCCCCTGCTGCTGGACCATTGCCCATCGGTCGGAAGAAGTAGGTCCATCTTGAATAGGGGTGCGTCCGAAGAGCTCTCCTTTGGGGTGTATCCCAGGGCCCCCTTCCTCTTCTGAGCGGCGTCACTTCTCGTCGACACGTCGGGGACTGGGGAGAACACGTCCCCTGCGGAGAGACGCCGCGCCCCAAAGACCACTCCGCCGAGGGCTCAACCTTACACGTCGGTCGGAAGAGAAGGGTAGAAACATGAAGTAGGACGGCGACACCGTTCTCTTCCGACGCTCGCCTGTGCGAGGGGAGGAGGAGGAGGAGGAGGAGGAGGAGGAGGAGGAGGAGGAGGAGGAGGAGGAGGAGGTAAGGAGGATAAGGAGGAGGAGGAGGAGGAGAGGAGGACAAGAGGAACAGGGGGAGGAGGAGGGGGAGGGGGAGGAGGAGGGGGAGGGGAGGGGGGAGGGGAGGGGGAGGAGGAGGAGGAGGAGGAGGAGGAGGAAGGAGGAGAGGAGGAGGAGGAGGAGGGAGGAGGAGGAGGAGTGCGCTTTGCGTCTCGACCGCGAAAAGCACGGACGACCAAACGGATCCACACGGTTCTGGCCGCGGCGAAGCTCGGGCACGGCCACCAGGTGATGCGGGTGGCAATCCGGGCGCGGGCTTCGTCGACAGGGTTCCAGGCTTACCGATCGCTCGGAGGAAGTAGGCACAAACACGAGTAAGAGAAAAAAACGCACATAAACACGAACGAACTTCTTGGGTCCGCGCTGGAACCCCCTCCCTGGCGCGCGGAGCGCGCCAGGGGCGGCGCCAGAGGCACCGCCTGGGGGGGGGGGGGCCCAGCGCGGATCCAAGAAATCCGCGCGGAGCGCCCAAAGTTTATGTTTATGTGGTAGTTCCTTCTTCGGATGAAGTAGGACGGCGTTAAACACAGAGTGGGTTTCCGCCCGCCCCCTGAAGAGAACGGAAGCGGTGAGGCCGCGCGATCGCTCGAGCAGATCGGAACCTGGGGATCCGGCAAGTTCTGCGTGCAACGGCCGGGGGGGCAGTTCGACGAGGGGCCCCAGGAGCACGCGGGCCCGTCTGGGCTGCCTCCGCCGTGCTGCGCGGAAAACACGGAGAGGGGGGGGGGGGGGACGGGTCGGAGAGCCAACACGAGGGCGGAGGTCCGTCGGCCGAGGCCGCACGGAGGGCGGGGAGTGCCACCCGGGTGAGGGGAGGGAAGGCTTGGAGGCCAAGTCAGCCCGAGATCCGCAAGAGGGAGGAGACCATCGAGGGCGTCTCCAACCGCTGCTTCGACTTGCCTCGCGGGAGACTGGGCCACCGCCTCCCCCCCCCGGGTCACGTCAAGATTCCAGGGCCTCTCATACAGTGTGTTTGAGAACTCGCTCGCGACAACGCCCGCGGCAGGCCCCCACGCACGTCCCCACCCCTGGACACGTCACGATCCGCGCTGGCGCCGTCTGGGAATTAGCCATTCTGAAGCATTCCCAAAAGGCGGTGGCGCGAATCGTGACAAGACTGGCCCCATCCCCCCCCGGCCCCGCCCACCCCCCCTGGGTCACGCCCGTCACCGTCATAGGATGCAAAAACTGTCTCCTCTTCTGAGCCCATGAAACCCGACGTCATGGTTTGCTCCATAACGTCGACCCCTGGAGGTCGACCGGTCTCTCGTCCTGCGTCGATGTCTGACGGTCCCGAGGCTCGGCGAGGGCCTCCAGAGGTCGAGAGCAGCGAAACACCTCCCGTCATAATCTCGTCACGGCCCGAAGGGGTCTGGGAGGCGAGGAGGACATCGGAGTCGACGCGTGGGCCGCTCGCTATAGGGCAGCGGGCGCGGAAACGGAGGTCCCCGCCACCCGCGTGTCGTGCACCGCGAGGCGCATCCAGCCGCTCTCCAGGGGCGGGGGCTGCAGCCTCTCCTGGGAGAGGAGGGGACGCAAAAGGGCGCCGTCGAGCTACGGCAGGGAACGCCGAAATCAGGGGCGCAGCGGCTTCTGTCGTGTGCATGAGCACAGGAAGAAGGAAGGGCGACACTACCGCCACCAGGGCGAGGAGATGCGAGGAGCAGAGGGGGGTCTCCCTCGCTCGAGGCATCCCCAGCCTCCAGCTCGGGAGGCATCGTGGACTCCTCCTCGTCCTGCTCCTCCTCAACCTCGTCCTCGTCCTCGTCCTCGTCCTCCTCCTCCTCCTCCTCCTCCTCCTCCTCCTCCTCCTCCTCCTCGTCCTCCTCCTCCCTGCAAGTGGCCCCCCTGGTGACGTTGGCGTCGCCTCTCCTCTCCCCGATGCTTTCCGGCCACAGCGCGTCTCTCGGCCACGACGAGGCTCCCCGACGCGGACCTGAGACGCACGTCGGGTGAGAGCGGGCACCTCGCCAGCCACTTGGGCGGGCCCTCCTCCTCCTCCTCCTCCTCGTCCTCATTCCTCCTCCCCTCCTCCTCTCCTCCTATCCTCCTTCCTCCTCCTCCTCTCTCCCCATCTCCTTCCCATCTCCTCCTCCTCCTCCTCCTCCTCCTCCTCCTCCTCCTCCTCCTCCCCACTCCCTCCCTCCCTCCCTCACTCACTCATTCACTCACTCACTCACTCACTCACTCACTCACTCACTCACTCATGGCATGAGGTCCTGTCTGTAAGTACTGCCATTGACCCCCTCCTGCGGGTACCGTATGGTACCGCAGGAGGGGACCATTCCAAACACAGGCCAGTCTCTGCTGACGGGGACGGTGAGGTACGAGGGGGGAGAAACGGACGGGAGCCCGAAAGAAGAGGTCGAAGGTGGTCCTCCTCCTCCTCCTCCCTCCTCCTCCCTCCTCCTGGGCAGTGTTGGGAAGGGGACCCATCAAGTAATGTGTCAGGGAGGAGGGAGGAGGGGGAGGAGGAGGAGTAGGAGGAGGAGGAGGAGGAGGAGGAGGAGGAGGAGAAGAGGAGGAGCACCTTGACCGTCACCATCAACCGTCGGATCTCCGCGCGGACTTGCCGTCGGCAGGCGAGGGGCCTCCACTGGCGGCGCCCCCGGGGCACCGCCCCTGGCTGGCGCGCTCTGCGGGCCCCGGGCCCGGCGCCGAGCCAAGAGTTGGGAACCTCTCGGACACGAAGCCCTGCCCCCCCCCTCTCGGACACCCCCCTCTCTGGAGCAGGGGATCGACTACAGAACTGAGTTCCCCCAACATGTATTCTCTCGTCGAAACTACGACAAGCGCGTGTATAATGTTCGTATGGCATGATGCGAAGCTTGTCAAATATCTCTCTATATATATGTATATATACATGTTCGACGAGCTAATCAATGATGGGGCAGAGCAGTCGTTGGGAACCCCCAAACCGGGTGGTGAGATACCAGGTGGCGACCTGGAACCCCCAATAAGGTCACCGCTGGGTTTGGGGACGCGGGGTCACCACCGGGTTTTGTGACTCCTGGACCCACCAGTGTTCGGGACATCCTCGGAAAACCGCACGAGTCCCCAAACCGGGTGGTGACACCAAATCGCCCAAGACTCACCGCCAGGTGTTGTCACCACCACGTTTGGGGACTACCAAAAGAGACCTACGCGGACCTCCGCATATCGATGCGTACCCCGGAGGCGCGCCGTGTGGGGCCCAGTCAAACAAAAAAACGAGAAAGGTTCGTGCGGAGCGCCGAGAGGTTCTGCGGATGCAGGGCTCGACCTGGACAGCGTTTCTGGTGCTCGCGAGTGTGCTATAGTCCTCCCCTCGTGCTGCATTCGCTGCGCTTCCGCTGCAGGGCAAAGTCGATACGCCCACAGCCACCGACATCGCCAAGGCACCGCCCAGGTCGAGCCCCGTGCTCACGCCTTTGTTTGTTCTCCTCCGGGCTCCAGCGGCGAGGCGCAGCGCGACAGCATGGCCCCCAGGGCCGCCAGCGCGCCCGCGTGCAGCACGACGCGCGCGCCGTGGACGCAGCCCTCGATGGGGTGCCTGGGGGCACCAAAAGGTACCGATACCGCTCCTCCCCGGACCTCTCCGGGGGTGCGTTCTGACCAGGCTCTCGAGGCAAATCCCGCGGTGGCGACGAGGGCCTCCCAGGAGGCCCCAAAAAGGGGAAACACGAGGCGAGCGCAGCGGCGTGGCTACATATATATATATATATATATATATATATATATATATATATTCTCCCCCTCTGAGTGCCAGCCCTGGTCGCCCTGCGGCTCGGCCCCCGCGGCCGGCGGGCCCTCCTTCCAGCGCACCAGCACCGCGCGGCCGCGCGGCGGGGCGAGCTGCAGCAGCTGGCGCTCGGCACCGCCGCCGCCCTCGCGCCACAGCGCGCTCGCGGAGCCCAGCGAAAGGGTGCTGATGCACGCCGCGGGCGGGTCCTCTGCCGGGGCCCTCCCCCAAACCTGGCGGCGACGCACCGCGCGGTGGGCCCGGCATCCCCGGCCGGCGGCCTCACGCCGCGCGGCCCGCCACCGCACGGCGGCCCGCCACCGCCGCCACGAGAAGCAGGAGGGGGACGGGGGGGGGCCCTCCCCCTCCTCTTCCTCCTCCTCCTCCTCGTCCTCCACCTCCTTCCCCCTCCAGCCCGTGGCGGTGGTGGACAACAGGCCCATCACGTGAGGCCCCCGTCGCCCGAGGGGCCCTCGGAGCGCGGCCCGAGCCCCCGAGCCGCGAGGCGACCCCGAGCCCCTCGTGACTCACCGCGCCAACTTTCCGCCACACGTGTGCCCTCCGCGCCACATGCCTCGGGCCAGGGGCCGCCGTGCGGGGCGCCATCCGGGCACCCCCCTGGAGCGCTCCCGGCGACGCGCAGCCGCTGGCACGCGTCCCGCGGCGCGCAGGTCCCCAGGAAACGGCGGACGCGGACGAGACTCCCGACTCCCGACTGACTCACCACGCGTGGTCACCGCACTGTTTGCAGTCCTCGCACGTGTTGTCCGAGCAGACGGGGTCGGAGTCGCGACGCATCGCCGATGCATTGGCGGCGCCGGCGAAATCGGCGACGCAACGGCGCCGTCGGCGTGGAGGAAACCCCGCATCCCCACTGACTCACCTGAGAGGGGGGGAGGGGGCATCGAGCTGGAATGGGCAACGCATGGCCGCTAGGGGCATGACCGCCCGGGCCGCCCCAGGCACGCTCGAATTCGCTACCAAAGCCCATCGCAGACGTATCGGCGATGCATGGCCGATTCCAAATCCATGTTTCCCCCTTCTAAGCCTATCGCCCCGATCGTTACCCCTATCACCACGCGGTGTGGTCACCACACCGCTGAGGGGCCTACGAGTAGGTCGGGCGTGACCCCCTACAGGCGGATCTTGGACGAAGCCTTACACATCCCCAGAAATATTCAAGTAACAATCAACAAACAATCAAAACATCGTCCCCAAACGATTTGAGTATTCTCGAATGTTCTTCCTGTGGAGGGACGTGCCCGATTTAAACCTACGATGTCCTCGCCCTTCGGCTCGTCCGGCAGCGGCAGGCACGAGCCGCGTTCCGCCGCGCCCCGCGCGGGCGAGCCCGGCTTCGCCGCCGGCGACGCCGGGGCGGCTGACGGCTGGTCGTCCTGGAAAAACACATTATTACCATCATCGCCATCATCGCCAGCATCACCACCACCACCATCATCAGCAGCAGCAGCATCAGCATCATCATAATCAGCATCATCATCGTCCCCTCCATCATCATCATCATCATCATCATCATCATCATCATCATCATCATCATCATCATCATCATCATCATCATTATCATCATCGTCATCATCATCGTCATCATCATCATCACCATCACCATCACCACCATCATGAACACCACCATCGCCGCCTCCATCATCAGCATTGTCGTCATCATCATAATCATCAGCGGCAGCATCATCCTCACCATCCTCGCCATCATCGTTATCGTCATCATCATGATCATAAGCATCATCGTCGCCATCAGCATTGACATCTTGATTCCCCATACACACACCATGGGCGTTGTTGGTGTGTTATCTTAACACATGTGTTACGTGGCCTCCACGCGCCAAAAGCGATCAGAAAAGCGACGTTCTCTGAGCGTGGTCGAACTCGCTGTTCTGGCGCTGCTGGACCCGTCGCTACGGATCATCACTGCTTGAGCGATTCGTGCGTCTTCCTGTCGAAGGCCGGTACTTGCTTCCTCTGCCCTTTGCGCTCCTGCTCTCCCGTTCCTGCTGCCTCCGCTCCCCCCGCTCCGTGCGCAGAGCACGAGCGAACACCACGGACGCCCCATAACACCCGTCGAGCACCGGAGCGGCATGGGGCCCGCACGCCCCGCGGCCGGCCAGCAGTGGCGGCAGGAGAAGAGCAGGGGGAAACCACACATGGCAACGATACGATGGAGAGGACGAAAACGCAGGGAGGATAAAAAAGGTGGGCATCGTTGACGGCGACACTTATATAACAACGCAACCACATGGGTCTGAAAACGCCAGGAGCTCATAGCGAACACCGCAACCGCAACAAATGCACTTGATTGTTGCGTTGTTGAGTTTGGCCGGAGCCGGAAAGCGCGAAACGCATGATTTCTAAGACGCCGAAGTGAAACTTGTAATTAGAACAAAACGCACAACGCATATGTTTGGACGAGCGACGATCATCACCATCATCATCATCATCAGCATCATTTAAGACTCGTCCTACTGGTGTTCCTCCTCATCGTCATCACCACCACCACCATCATCATATCAGCAGCATCGTCTGATCCGTCGCCAATTCGTCGCCACTGCTACCATCCGCATCATCACAATCATCATCAACATCGTCTTCAACTTCATCATCCTCATATCATAAGCATGACCATGATCATAACCAACACCACTCACATCATCGCGATTCTCTTCCTCAGCGGCAGCAACAAGACATCATCGTGTGCATCCCCATGCCCATCCCCATTCTCATCCCCGCAAGCGTCCAGAGCGCAACCTGTCGCAGGACAGGCGAGAGATAGATGAACACGGACAGGCTCGTGCCAAAGGGTAGACAGCAGAGGAGCCAGAATGATCACCACCATCATCGTCCTATATCGTCATCACCAACAGCATCAGCATCATCCTGGCGCGAAGGCGGCGCGCGCGGGGCTCCTCCTGCCCCTCCTGCTCCTCCTGATCCTCCTCCTCCTCCTCCTCCTCCTCCCACAGCTCCTCCTCCTCCTCCTCCTCCTCCTTCTCCTCCTCCTCCTCCTCCTCCCCCAGCGCGAACGCGGCGCGCGTGGGGGGGGGCTCCTCCCAAGGAGCTCGAGACACTGCTGCACGAGCGTCGGGGACCACGGCTGCCGCGGCCCACTCTGCAATGGCTTGGGGTGAGGGGAGCAGTGTGACTGCGAAAGGTGACAGCACTCCTTCTCCACCTCGTCCTCCTCCTCATCGTCATCATCATCACCACCATTATCATCATCATCATCATCATCATCATCATCATCATCACCACCGTCATCATCATCATCATCATCATCATCATCATCATCATCATCATCATCATCATCTTCACCATCATCATCATCATCGTCATAATCATCACCACTGTCATCATCATCATCATCATCATCAACATCATCATCATAATCAACATCAACATCATCATCACCCCCGTCATCATCATCATCATCATCATCATCGTCATCATCATCACCACCATTATCATCATCATCACCACCGTCATCATCATCATCATCATCATCCTCACCATCATCATCATCATCATCATCATCATCATACTCATCATCATACTCATCACCACCGTCATCACCATCATCACCATCATCATAATAATCATCATCAGCATCAGCATCGTCATCACCCCCGTCATCATCATCATCATCATGGGCATCGTCGTCGTCCCTGTCAGCAGCATCCTCACCACCATCATTGTCAGAATCATCACCACCGACTTCACCATCATCATCAACATCATCAACATAATCATCATAATCAACATCATCATCATCAACATAATCATCATCATCACCCGTGTCATCATCATCATCATCATCATCATCATCATCATCATCATCATCATCAGCATCATTCCCATCATCATCGTCATCATCATCATCATCATCAGCATCATCATCATCGTCGTCGTCGTCGTCGCAGACGTCGTCGTCGTCGTCGTCGTCGTGGACGTCGTCGTCGTGGACGTCGTTGTCGTGGCTCCTCCTGCTCCTCCTGCGCCTTCTCCTCCTCCTCCTCCTCCTCCTGCTCCTCCTCCCACAGCTCCTCCTCCTCCTCCTCCTCCTCCTCCTCTCTTCCTCCTCCTGTCCTTCTCCTCCTCCTCCTCGTCCTCCTCCTCCTCCTCCTCCTCCTCCTCCGTTCCCTCTTCTTATGTTTCCCCCTTCTCCTCCTCCTCCTCGTCCTCGTCCTCGTCCTCCTCCTCATCCTCCTCCTCCCACAGCTCCTCCTCCTCCTCCTCCTCCTCCTTCTCCTCCTCCCCCAGGCGCGAAGGCGGCGCGCGCGGGGGGCTCCTCCCACGGAGCTCGAGACACTGCCGCACGAGAGTCGAGGATCACGGCCGCCGCGGCCCACTCTGCAATGGTTTGGGGTGAGGGGAGCAGTGTGACTGCAGAGGGTGACAGCACTCCTGCTCCTCCTCGTCCTCCTCCTCCTCATCGTCATCATCACCACCACCATCATCATCATCATCATCATCATCATCATCATCATCATCATCATCATCATCATCATAATCATAACCACCGTCATCATCATCATCAGCAGCATCATCAGCACAATCATAATCAACATCATCATCAACATCATCATCACCCCCGTCATCATAATCATCATCATCATCATCATCAGCATCATCATCATAATCACCATCATCATCACCAGCATCATCACCCCCGTCATCATCATCATCATCATCATCATCATCATCATCATCATCATCATCATCATCATCATCATCATCATCATCGTCATCGTCATCGTCACCGTCATCGTCGTCGTCGTCGTCGTAGACGTCGTCGTCGTCGTCGTCGGCGTCCTCGAGGAGGCCCAGCTCGCCGAGGCACCTCCGCTCGAGCGGCCGCAGGCGGCACACGGTGTCCCGCAGGAACGCCAGACCGCCCAGGCGCACCGCCACCGCGGCGGGCTCGCCGGCGCCGCAGCTCGCCACGGCAGACTGCAGCTCCTACGGACTTGGGAGGCAACTGCTGGGAGGTCTTCGCCGGAAAGACGCATAGGGATCCGCGCGGACCTCCGAGTTGTTATGGTTATGTCACTTGTTTCCCCTAAGTAAGGACCCTGAGATCCTGGCGTCTCATTTTTTTCGAGCCAGGCGTTTTCGCGCTTTTTCTGGCCCCGCGACCCTCACAGATCGATGCGGCTCGAAACATGATGCAGAAAGATGGGGTCTAGAGCTGCGGCGTGATTCTTTACGATGTTGCAAGTGTTTCGCTACGTCAGATCTCAGGGGAGGATAAAGCCCTCTTAGGGGGCTCCTACGCCAGATTAGGCCGCGGTTTCAGTGGGAGCAGCCCCGATCAAGCGGGAATCAGCCCGATTAAGCCCGCTTAAGCCGGATTAGGCCCGATCTCGGACAAGGGCAAAGTCTGAATTTTACCTCCGAGGAGATGTATCCGAATACAGTCGGTTCCCGCAGCGTCGGCGCGCGAAGGTTTTGGACAGCACGTCGACCCTTCCAACCCTGAATCGATCGCTGCCCCGATCGATTAAGGTCGAACTCCGTCGGTGCCTCTTGGTGCCTCCGCGTCGCAGAATTCAACCATCTCAAAAGCAATCGCTGGCGTCGCCAGCGCTCCAACGCCGCATGAGCCTACCGTGGAGGAACACAACGACTTCTTACCTCAACGTAATCATGACCTTCCTGCGCTCCCGCGAGCAGAAACTTCCGGAGCTCAACCTAGGGAATGTGTGGCTCCACTGTGGCGGCGCGCGCAACGGGAGATGGCCCTACATCTATAAACACCATTGGGGGCTGCTGAGCCGGATTAGGCCGCGGATCAAGCGGGATTGAGCCGAACTACGCGGGACTGCGTGGGAGTAAGCCGACATCAACCGCATTCCGCCCCAGGGCAAAGTCAGGATTTGACCTCTCAAGAGATGCATCCGAACATGCACGCAGACTTGTGATGTAAAGTTCCGCGCGGAGACTATCGGCGCGTGGGGTCCCCACCGCCTCCGCGCGCGGGGCGCGCCAGGGGCAAGGTGGGGGGGGGGTGCTCAGGGTGCCGATCCAGGCAATCCGCGCGGAGCTGCCACAGTCGGACCCAGCCTCGAAGAACATCTGTCGAGGACACGAGATACTCCGCTGGGCAAAACACACAGAACATCCAAGGGTACCATCCCCAGGATGCACGAGAACATCCAACAAGCACGAGGAACACCAGGTTACCCTCCCCGACCCGACCTCGATCGTATGCCTCGGTCCGACTGTATGCGGCTTCTTGTTACTCGCGCCAAAGGTCAGATCGATGGCAAGCAACTCATGGGGGCCTCCCAGGCCATTTCGCTGGCTAGGACCGACACCGATCGACGTAAGACATGAGTTCGACGACATGCAAGGCTTCCACGACTTGCCAACGCAGAATAGCGCCCGCTATTTGTAGGCGGCGAGCGAGGGGGGAGTGAGAAGGAGAAGACCCCCTCTCAAAGGCGGCGGGACCTCTCAGAAGCCATCGCGCCTCCTGCGAGGTCTTTTTTGTGTCTTCGGGGAGGGCTTCGAAAGCTCCTCGGAAGGCCCGGGGACTTCTGAGCCTTCTGAGGAGGCATTCTCCTGCTCCAGGGGGAACCGAGCACTGGCATTCACATAACAAATCTCTGAGGTCCGCGCGGGTTTTTCGTATCGGCGCTGGAACCCCCGTGGCGGCGCCCCCCGGCGCCGCCACTGGCGCGCTCTGCGCGCCAAAGAGCAGGGCCCAGCGCCGATCCGAAGAACTCCGAGCGGAAAACCCCGGGCTGTCATGCCCCATGCCATCGTTGAAGGGGCCCTGGGACACACAAACAAATACACACGATCAAAAATATTCCCCATCTTTTCCTATATTTTCTGGGTGTTTGTCTTCCCCCCCACTTCCCATAGTTTCTCATATTTTCTGTGCAATCGACACTTAATTGTGTCTGTGTGTTTCTTCTCCTCCTGAATCGTGTGCGTTCCCCTCGTCTCCCACTGGTCCCCCCTCGCTCGCCGCCGGGCCTGCCCCGCCCTCGCGAGCTCCAGGGTCAGCACGCCCACCCGCAGCACCACGGCGACGAGCCGCGCGAGCTGGCCGTCCACGAGCTGCACGCGGCGCTCCAGGCCGAGGGCGGAACCGCCTGCCGCCTCGGGCGCCGACCAGCGCGCCCAGTCGTCCTCCTCTGGGGGCGAGGCATCGGGGGCGTCCAAGAGTCGGGCAGGGGATCGACGACACGACTGCTCTACCACATCATTGATTAGCTCCTCGAACATGTGCATATATATATATATATATATATATGACAAGCTTCGCATCATGTCGTACGAACATTATACACGCGCTAGTGGTAGTTTCGACGAGAGAATACATGTTGGGGCAAATCAGTTCTGTAGTCGATCCCCTACTCCAGAGAGGGGGGTGTCCGAGAGGGGGGGGGCAGGGCTTCGTGGGCGCTGGAAGCGACAGGGCCGGTTCTTCTACCAGTTCTGCGTTCGCCGTCTTCTTTCGGGCAAGTGCTGGTGGGGGGTGACCTGAATGGGGGGTGAAGAAAAGAGCCCTGAAGCAGCCCTTCAGGGCACCTGCTTGCTGGCGAGGCCCTCTAGGGCACCTTAGGGTCCTTTCACTTCACCCCCCATATGGGTCACCCCCCAATGCCACCCGCCCGATTCTTGCTGGTTACGGCGCCAATTGTTCTCCGATTCCGTCGCCGTTGTTGTTGCCGACCAGTTCCAGTCCCGGAGCCACGTGCTTGTCGTTTCCAGTTGCCGTTGATGTACCGTTCCAGGCTTCACGAGACACACTTTCGGAACTGGTGGAAAAAAAACGGCCCGGCCGAATCCAGGACCCACTAAGTGCCAGGGGACGTACTGGCATGAAGAGAGGCACCGTGAAATCTCGGGAGCCATCGTAGCCCGGCCATGACATCCACCGGCCATGACGTCCACCCCCCCTCGGTCGTCACACCCCTCGTCCTCCTCCCTCCCTCCTCGCCCTCCCTCCTCGTCTCCCTCCCTCCTCGTCCTCCTCCCCCTCCTCCCCCTTCCGTCCCTCCCTTCCTCCCTCCCTCCCTCCCTCCCTCCCGTCCTCCCTCCCTCCCTCCATCCCTCGCGCCTGCCCTCCTCCTCCTCCTCCTCCTCCTCCTCCTCCTCCTCCTCCTCCTCGGTCGTCACACCCCTCGTGGCCACCGCCGCCCGCAACCCGAGGAGCGGCCAGAAGAAACGGGGGTGCTGCGCACGATGGCTTCGCGACAATCCGCGGTTGCCTGCGCGGGCCGCCAGCGCGGCACCCTTCGTACCAAGGAGGGCACCTAGTTTCGCGCGACCTCGCGGGGGAAGCCCGATTGCACGCCACCGCGCCGTCGACCTTGTTTTCTTCCGTCGCTCGCCTGGGGTCCCTGTGGATGGGGTCGGAACAACTCGCAGCATCGGCGATGCATCGGCGATGCATTGGCGCCGTCGGCGTGGAGAGGATCGATGATGATCATGATGATGATGCTGATGTTGTTGATGATGATGCTGATGACAATGATAATGATAATGATGATATGGTGGTAATACTGTTGATGCTGATGATGATGATGGCGATGCCCATGATGATGATGCTGATGATGATGCGGATGATGATTACCATGATGATGACGATGCTGATGATGATGCTGATGAACATAATGATAATGATAATGATAATGATAATGATAACGATAATGATAATGATAATGATGAGGATGCTGATGATGATGGTGATGATGATGATGATGGTGGTGTTGATGATGATGATGACGATGATGATGATTATGATGATGCTGATGCTGATGATGATGATGATGATCTCCGCATCGAGCGAATCGCCGACGCACTGGCAACGCGGCGCGACACTCTCTGACCCCACCGCGCTCGACCCCATCGAAATTGGGCGAGGCCTGGGGTCCTGGGCCGCGCCCCCCCTCCTCCTCCTGCTCCATCCTCCCCCATCCTCCTCCTCCTCCTCCGCCTCCTCCTCATCCACCTCTTCTTATCAATCGTATCAGTAGTATCCGTTGTATGGTTATTGTTCGTCGTATTATTCATCTTCTGGTTAGCAAGAGTATTCGCAGTAGTCGCATTTGTCTTATTATGGTAATGTCCGGATTAATATTAGTACTAGCAATATTCGTCTTCTCAACATTGAAATTATTAGTAGCATGCGCACCCGTGTTCGTAGTATTCTGATGTTCAGTATTGGTGTACCTACTATTCGTAGCCGTAGTATTCGCATTCGTGTTGTTATTCGTATTATCGTTATTGTTAATCGTCTTCGTCTTATTACTAGTATTCGAGTTATTCATATTAGTCTTGTCAGTAATATTAGTATTCGTCTTGTTATTCGTATTATTTTGCATAGTCGTATTATTATGTGTAGTATGCGTATTCCTCTTATTATGCCTCCTCCTCTGCGTCTTTTTACTATTATTATGCGTCTCCTTCGTATTCGTATGATCATTCGTACTGCCAGTATTAGCACGAACTTATTAGTATGCCATTCGTATTCGTAGTCTCATTCGTATTGTCATTTGTATTGCTACTATTATCCTCCTCCTCCTCCCTCTCCTCCTGCTCCTCCTCCTCTTCCTCCTCCCTCCTCCTTTTTCCTCCTCCTCCTCTTCCTCCTCCCTCACATCCGCCTTCCTCTCCCTCCTCCTCCTCCTCCTCCGCCTCCTCCTCTTTCTACTCCTCCCTCACAAATCATCCCCTCCGCGGCCGTTCGGGAGCGCTTTCGGCGAGGCGCAGCTTGCTCAGAACACCCCGAAACTGGAAGACCGCAGGGGAACCGACGAAGACGCACGAGCACCTCTAAGAAGATCGAAGCCGAAACTTGACCCCATCTGACCGTCGCCCATCTGGCAGTGAAAAACCCAAAAAGGTACGCATACCGCTACTCCGGGGACCTCTCCAGGGGTGTGTTCTGACCATAGCGTCGGAGCGAATTCATCCGTGGTGGCGAGGGCATTCAATGAGACCCAAACAAACGGAAAGGAGGACAACGTAACGGTGTGGGTAACCTGTGCCCCACGAGCCCTAACCTGCCAGATTTCATTGACAAAAATAGATGCTGATTTCTAGACCGATCCTGGCTGCGACAAGACCTTGATCAGAATTTTCGGGGGCGGCCACAGGGGGACGTCGAAGAGGGGGGGTCGCAAATCATGGCCGGCGGCACGTGCGCGGCCCAGGGGGGGGGCAGGGACGTAATGAATGACAAGAGGCGACGTGCAATCTGGGGAGATAACATGGCCCCCGCCATGATATCCGCCCCCCTAGTCATCACCTCCCTTTTGGCCGCCCCCGACATTTGGACGCCGAAAGCCTGTTTCTGTGTGAAAGCCAGCGCTGCCCCCGAACCCTGGGCCTTGGCCAAAATGACTCGTGCTCCGACGGTCACGGGGCCCCCTCTGTGTGCTGACGCTGCCGGGGCCAAGCGAGGGCCCCTAGACCGAAACTCCGCCAACCGTGCCCCGGGGCATGGAGCGTGGGAGGCCCAGAGGTCGACACCAACACCTACATCCGCGGTGTGCCTCCAGAACTTTGTGGGCCCTGGAAACGGCAGGACCGTTTTTTTGACCGTTTCCAGAAAAATGCCCCTTGCAAATGGAAACGGTAAAAAAAGGGCGACAGGAAACTGCCAAAAAACGGCTCCAGGATTGGAGCCGGCTCCGGAACCGGTCAAAAAACGGCGACGGAACCGGTAAAAAAACGGCGTCGGAACCGGCAAAAAAACCGCAAAACGGAACCAGTAAAAAAACGGCCCTGTCGTTTCCAGGGCCCACTAAGCTCCAGAGAAAATGCTCCTGATCTCGGTAATACTTTGGCGTCCTGGGTGGCCGAAGCATTACCACCAGCTGGGACCGACCGTCCTGGCATTCTTATAGGCCTACCCCGACATTATCCCAAAAAGCCAAAAGTGTTCTAAGAACCCACACAATCAGCCCGATGTGGTATGACAAGAAAAACTCAGCCACAAATGTGCTAGGATCATTTCGTGCAGACCACGAAAAGTTCTTAGACCTTCCTTCGATGGATTCTTATGCAAGTTAGCGTTTTCTTATTGGGCGTTTCGACATTGAGCGAAAACGGGGTGGGAAGGGGGAGGGGCTCCGGACCTCTGCTTAGCGCGACTGCTTGAAGCAATGCGTCCGCCTGCTTGAAGCAGGCGCCAAAAACAGCCAAGATCCACTCCAGGGGGAAGGGGAGGCAGGGGTGCGAGAGCCCGCGCGGATCGGCTAAATAATGAAGGAGAAAACGATCACCAAGCCTGGACGCTTCGCCACTGCTTGAATGTCCGCAGGTGCCCCCGCTGCTCATCGTCGAATTCTTCGGCGTCTGAGCGTCCCCCCTTCCTCTCCTCGGCCTCCCACCCCACCCTCCCTGCACGGCGGGCAAATTCGCAGGTCATAGTGCCCCTGCCCAGCTGTTACGCCGGTGCGGAGTTCGCCGCCTCACTGCTTACGAAAAGAGTGTCCGCAGGTCCTGGGCGGAGCCAAGAGCGCGCGGAGCGCCCAAAGTTTGTGTTTATGGCGCTTGTTCTTCTTCTTCTTCTCTGTCAAAGAAAACGGTCACCGGTCCAGGACGCTTCTTGAGCAGGGACCGACCGTCCCGGCATTCTTATAGTCCTACCTCGAAGCTTTCTTAGAACCCGCAACATTTTCTAAGAACAGGAAATGTTCTTAGAACATAAACCCGATGTGGTAAAACAGGACGGTCCCGGCCAGAAATGCTCTAAGGACATTTCGTGGAAACCATAGAAAAGGTTCCTGGAACATTGCCTGGCAGGGCTGTGGGCGAGCCAGGGCGCTGCGCCACTGCTTGAGCTTCGCCACTGCTTGCGTGTCCGCAGGTCCTCGGAAGGAGCCCTGGGACACACAAAGAAATACACACAGATAACAGATTCCCACATTTCCCCATCTTTTCTGGGTGCTTGCCTTCCCCCCCACTCCCCATATTTTCCTATAACTTCGGGGGACTCGCCGATTCCTGGTGTCTGTGTGCTTCTTCCCCTCCCGATCCTCGGCCTCCGCCCCGGCGTCCGGGCCGCGCGGCCGCGCGGGCGCCGCCGCTCCCGCGGGCCCGCCCGCCGCGCCCGCGCGCGGCCCCGCGGCGGCGCGCGCGGGCGGCGGCCAGGCGCCCGCGGGCGGCGCGCGCCGGGGGCGGCGGCGCGGCCGGCGGCGCGGGCGCGCCGGGCGCGGCGGGCCCGCGGCGGGGCCCCGAGGGGGCCGGGCGGACAGGGGGGGATCGATCTGACCATCGCTCGGACGTCCATTCCCTGTGCGCTTCTCGGTCTCGTGCGCGGTTTTCTCTTGCCTGAGGATCAAGGAGGCTCCTCGAGGGTCCTCGCCGGAGGAAGAAAGGCACACGTCCGAGGGATGCCAAGATCGTTGGCAAAAGGGGGGTTTGAGAATCAGCTCACGCGCGCCGGGAGGCGGCCATGCATCGAGGAACGGGCCCGGCGGCGGGGCCGAAGCCAGCTGCGTGCAGCAGATTTCGTAACCCCCGGCCGGCCCGACCCGAGGGTCCCTTCGATCTTGATCGACCCGACCCGGCCCGACCCGAGGGCCCGAAATCTGCTGGCACGTCGCTTCGATCTTGACGTTCGTCAAACGTGCGAGTCGCCCACGTCGTCCAGCTCCCCCATCTGAGCCAAGAGAACGCCGGTTTCTGCTGATGAGACATCCTCACGATTCGCTATCAAACTGGCCACGACGTGCAGGTGACGCTGGCGGTGTGCTGCCCACGCCGAGGCGAGAGCGCCGTTTGGGCGGACTTTCGGCCATTGCACGGAAGTTCGGCCCGCATAGTAGATCGGATGCTGCTAGAAGTGCCCCGGGCCCCATGAAATCCTCAGCTTGTCGCTCCATTTTTGGGCCCTTGGGGCCCTCTGGGCCTCGTGAGGAGTACTCTGGAGGCCGTCTGGGCCACCCCGAGGATCCTGGGGGCACCTTGGGCCAGGGGCACTTCTAGCAACAACCGAGTAGAGAACTAGAGTTAGGTCGGGCGTGTCCTCCTACAGGGGGATTTTGGAGGAACAGTTAAAAAGAGCCACGCAAAAATCCAAACGATGCGTGTGAGATTGTTCCCCCCCCATAATCCTCCCCGAGAGGCCCCAAACCGGCAATTTGACCCCCCCCGGGCCAGGCACGACCCCAGACACTGCGCGTCAAGGGGGGGGGGTCCAAAATGAGCCAGGAAGGCACTTGACGCCTCCCAAGAAGCCGCCAAGACGGTCCACGAGAACCCAAAGTCGACGAAAGGTCGTTCCAAGACGCCCAAGATGAGCTCAAAACGGCCCAAGAGGCCGCCAAATCACCCCACGAAGCCTCCGAGAGGCCTCCCCGACAAGAAACCCAAATATTAAAAATCCCGTGGGAAAGCGTGCATTTTTAGCATATCCAACTTGTTAGCCTTCACGGCGTTGAAAACCGTCCACGAGGCCCCCACGAGGCCCCAAAGACAACGCAAAAGAAATCCAACACGGCCCAAGAGGCGCCCTGCACGGACCAAGAGAGCTCCAAGACGGCCCAAAGAAGGGCCCAAGAGAGGGACCACGAATCGCGAATTCCAGCGCTCCGCCAAACGAAGCTCTCCGGAGGATTCAAGAGGCCCTCAAGAGGCCCCCAAGCGGCCCCAAGAGGCCCCCATGAGGCATCCACCAACGGACATCCCAGAACGTGCCACACACTACCCTGAACTTGACGCATTCTTGCTAATTTTCCTCGCCCCTGCTTCGGAATTCTGCCCGAGGCCTCGTGGAATTCAGTCCTGGAGGCGCAGTAGTTTATGGCAGGGTCGGCGGATGTGGGTTAAGCCTAGAGAGTCCAAAAGATGCTCAAAAACAGTCAGAGATCGCCCGCATACTATTTTCCTAAGTTTTGATATTCCTCCTGTAGAGGGACAGGCCCGACTTACAATTAAAGGTCTCCCAGATGGGGTCGGAGTAGATGGGGTCGGAGGATCGCGCCGCATCGCCGATGCATCGATGGTGCGGCTCGATGTGCAGCCCGACTTGCTTCACGTCGACGTCGCCAATGCATCGCCGACGTCGACGATGCATCGCTGGTGCATCGCTGGTGCATCCCTGCGGTCTGCAGTTCCCTGGGGCCGCCGCTGAGCCAAAGGCGAGGCCCCGAGGGGCCCGGAGGTGCAGCTCATGGGAACAAAAAAATGAAGGGGCCCCAGGACACACAAATAAATACACACAAATAAAAAGATGCCCCATATTTTCCCATTCTGTTTTGGTTTTTGTCCTCCCCCCCACTTCCCATGGTTTTGCATATTTCTCTGGGAGTCGACGATTAATTGTGTCTGTGTGTTTCTTTCCCTCCTGAAAAAAAAGCAGTGCAGGCGCGGCTGCTATCGCCGCTGTCGGAGGGGCCCACGGAGAGGCCCCCGGAGCCTCCCAGGGCGGCGCCCAGGAGGCAGCCGCGCGGCCTCCCAGAGGCCCGCCAGGGGGGCCCCCCCCACGCGATTCCAGCGAGCGTCCAGTACAGGATTCGGCCTGACCGAGGGAACGAGAAATAGAGAACGCCCCTGTGTTTCAAGAAAAACCAGGGAGGCTCGCCGCCAACGAGGTAGCGGAACGCATGCAAACCGAAGGAACGACCGAGTCCCCTTTGGAACAGTAATCGACTACCCGCGAGAGTGACACTGGGGAAAGATGACCTTTGGTGCGCGGACGAAAGGGGGGGCAACGTGGCCAAATCCGGGCGCGCCGACAGCCGCTATTGCGTCGCGCTGAGCGATCGGGGGGACCCAAATGAGCCCGCACCAAAGGTCACTCCGGCGAAAGGTCACTCTTACGCGTCATCGAAGTAAGTGTTCCTTATTCAGGCCGGACCCTTCGGGTCGGGCGAAAGGGGGGGATAGCAAAGGGGGGGTTTGAGAATCAGCTCACGTAGCTGATTTTCCCGGCGCCTCCCGGCGCCGGAGGCGGCTATGTATCGAGGAATGGGCCCCTCGGCGAGGCCGAAACCAGCTGCATGCAGCAAATTTCGTAACCCCCCCCTTTCCCAATCCCCCCCTTTCGCCCGGCCCGAACCCTGCAGGCGTCGTACACACACACCCCCCTTTAGTAAAACGTGGTTTAGTGAAAACGACCTGAGGCCCAAACCTGGCGGGCGCAAGCCTGGAAAATAACGGCCACGGCGCCCTCTCGAGAACCGAAAACGGACAATTCACTAATCGACGTGTCACTGTTGGGGGTTCTGTCCACCCCCGATACACACACACACACAGCCCCACAAGCACGGTGGCGGGAGGTCCCCGAAGGCCCTCTGGACAGAGACTTCCAGGTGTGCCTCGCCACGGTCGGCCTCCCACGGGGCCCTCGCCGGGGGCCCGACTTGCTGGGGGCCCACGGGCCGTCCAAGAGCAGACGACCTGGAGGAGGAGGGAGGAGGGGGAGGAGGAGGAGGAGGAGGGAGGAGGAGGACGAGGAGGAGGAGGAGGAGGAGGAGGGAGGAGGAGGAGGAGGAGGAGGAGGAGGAGGAGGAGGAGGAGGAGGAGGAGGGCTGGTCCGTGGGGGCGGGCTCAGACCTCCAGGGGCCCCGTTTTGGAGAGAAACCGGAGCCGCGACCCGACCCACGAGGGGGTCTTGCTGCGTCAGCGTCTCCGCCGCAGCCAGACCCAAGCAAGAACAACATCCTGCGAGGACATTCGGGTCGGGCGAAAGGGGGGGATAGCAAAGGGGGGGTTTGACAATCAGCTCATGTAGCTGATTTTCCCGGCGCCTCCCGGCGCCGGATGGAGCTATGTATCGCGGAATGGGCCCCATCGGTGAGGCCGATACCAGCTGCATGCAGCAAATTTCGTAACCCCCCCTTTCCTAATCCCCCCCTTTCGCCCGGCCCGAGACATGGGACCCTCCGCCGGCCAAAACACCCAGAACATCCAAGGGCACCCTTCCCCATGATGTCCAAGAACATCCAAGGGCACACTTCGGGGTCCGTGGGGGTGGGTGTAGACTTCTGGGGAGGCGTCCCTGAGATCGCAGGGGGGGGGTGCAACTTCCCTGATGGCGTCTCGCCAGATGCGGGATCTGCTCCATGGAAGCCCCCGTGGCCCCCGGCGCGTTGTCCGAGTCGGGCCTGCTTGAGACCGGGTTCGGAAGACAGTTGGGGCCAGATTTGGACCAGAGTCGCCGAAGAGGAGGGGGGAGAGGGACAGGAAGGGCGAGGAGGAGCAGGATGACGGGCCAGATGCGGTCCGAGTGCGGGCCAAACTCAGGAGAAAAGCCAACTTCGGGGTCGCCAACCAAGGATTGCAGGAGCAGGCATCGAGGCTAGAGGGTTCTCATACTGGTATAAAACCCACCAGCCCTTCAGGGCGGGAGTGGTTTAGATGGTTTCGCCTTCGGCCCCCCTTCTTTCCCTTCGGGGAAGGGTTTATCACTGTTCCCTATAAATAAACAACCCCTCTTTCAAGCGCCCAGCAGCCAACCAGGATCCAGCACCAGCACCAGAATCGGAGTCCAAAACCAGAGGTCCAGAACTACCGAAAGGAAAATAAAAAAGGGTCGGACCAGGGAGAGGCGAGATGAACCTGCAAGCCAGCCCCCTGGGAAATCACCCTCCTCCCTCCTCGCTCCTTCCTCGGCGGCCTGCAGGGCGCCGCCGACGTCGCCGAAATTGTCGGAGACGTCGAGGAGGAGGGGAGTGAGGGGAACATTAAAATGCGCGGGGGCCCATTCCTGCTGCTACCTGCCTGCTGCCACCTCCCGATCCCAAGCTGCTCAGCCAGACCCCAAACCTTCGCTCTAGGGCATCCCCGCGCTCTCCACCCTCCAGGCGAGGGAAGATATTAGAAGAACAGCTCGTTCTTAACTTGTTGATGCCTTGTCGGGAGCCGGACGCTTTGTTAACGGACATGTCCCCCCCACCAGTTCCAAAAGTGCGCACGTCGGTTCCCGACTTGTCCGTTTCAAGGGTAGCCGCACATTAAACTGGCATCACATTCTTAAACCTCTGCAGCGGTTGTGTACCAGGGACCTCGCCACGACGGAGCTTTCTGAGCTCCGAGGACACCTTCGCAGTACACTTGGCG